CACGTGGTTAGCCATACTAGGCAAGAAATTCCGGTCACACTCCAACAGAAATAGATCTTGGCAAGCCGTTCCGGCGTGACATTCTTGCTCGTCTTTCACTTGACGGATAGGCAGTTGCGAGATGGCGAGTTGACACCCATCGGGCATCCCGCCGCGAGAAAGTCTTCGCCTCCGCGATCGAGTCCTGGCATCTCGTTGAGGCCGTGGAATGCCTCGTTACTGCTATATAAGCTTTAAAAAAAAAATATGCGTCGGAATAGACGAAAGTTATACGCATTATCTTTCATCCCGACGGTGAGCTGTAGCACGTAGCCTTTTCGATGAAATTACCACGGGTTGAAATCACTTACCAGGGTTCCCTTCGGTGCACAGTAAGAACAGAGCAAGGATCGAGCCGACAAAAGCAGGAAAACTAAAAATTCTCCGGGAAAGAAAAGCGCTCATCAATACCGAGGCGATGATGATCATCGATCGACGATGTTGATGTTGACTGTTTGACGGTCAAATATGACGATCCTTTAACCCTTGAGGAACGCAATTCGATATCGAAGTTTCACGCGAATTTAACGAAATGCAGCTGTTGCTAGCTGTCGCCAAGTTTAAGCTGTGTTCCCTTTTTATGCAAAGAGATCAGGAAGCGAAACGCTAATGGCTCATGAAAATAATCTTGAGGGGCGTTCGCAAGTCTCGACCACCATTTCTCAGGCTAAAAGGGCGCAATAATAACGGTGGTTACAGGGTGCGCCATAAGTCCTTTGACAAAATGTTCCATGACTGTACATCCAATGCACATACAGCAAAGACTTTGTAATTTGTACTTTGGTAGTTCCTTATCGGTGCTGCATAGCTGCATAGGGGAAGCCTTGTGACGCATCGTTCATTTTTTTGAGAATGTCACCTGATATACGAGGGTCGGTACGAAAGTAATGCCTCTTAAATTTTTTCTCCCGACTCATGCATGGAAGACAGCCGAAAAAATTCCTAGGTAAAGATTTATATTTTCCGTCCTTGCTGCGTCAGTTTTTCGGAAAGGTGTCATTGGGAAGCACCACAGCACCCGTTCAAAATGGCTGCTACCCTTGATGCGCGTGCAAAGCAGATTGCTATCGAATTACTGACCGCAGAGGGAAAAGAGGGAAAATAGTCGACTGGAAGACGTTAATGAGCCCTCTACCGTTGATGTGAGCACAGTGAGAGGGTGGGCAAACAGGGTCAAGAGTGAAGAAGCCGACTTGAAAGACATGCCACACAGCAGTCGCCCTGCCTCGGCAATACCACTAGAGAAGATTCCCAGACTGGATGAGCTGATTCGCAACGATCGGCGCATCACCACACAAGAGTTGTGCGTATCTATAGGAATCGGAAGAATTTATGCCTCGTCATTAGAGGATATTCCCCAGTTCGCAAGGAACGTGCAGCACTTTCAGCCAAGCAGCAGCATCATGGTATGGGCGGCCATATCGGCAGAAGGCAAATTTCCAATTGTCTTCATTTCACCTGGCGTCAAAGTAAACAAAGAATATTACAACCAGGAGATTCTGCAGAAGATTGTGAATCCGACAGGGGAGCAGATGTTCAAAAGCCGGAGGTGGACATTCCAGCAAGATTCTGCACCTTCCCACAGAGCAAGAATCAACCAAGCCTGGTGCGAAGAAAATCTTCCAGATTTCATCAACTCGTCAGAATGGCCATCCTCATCGCCAAACTTAAACCCCATGGATTATTCCATTTGGGGACATTACAAGCCGGGATCAACGTTAACTGTCACACAAGTTTGCACTCTCTCAAACGCGCCATCTTGCGAGAGTGGAAGAAACTTCTAATGGATTCTGTTCGTTCAGTTATCGATTCTCGGCGTCTGAGACTGAAAGCCTGTGTGGATGCAAGCTGTGGACGATTCGAATTAGACTGTGCATTTTTGCTTCTTTCGCTTTAGTCGATCATGTGACTAGGTTCTAGAAATAAATTTTGTTCCGTTGTTATGCTGTCATCGTTATAATTTTGTCAAAAGACTCATGGCGCACCCTGTAGACGTTCTGAACACACTGACTGAAAGGGTCTCGATGCTGAATATGAGACAAGACCCGATATTGCGAGGATTCATTTCGCGAACGTCGAATTCGTGTCGTGCGTCAGTTGAGACCATTACATCACATGGACATTGCAAGATGGCGTCGAGAGTTCCCATCTTGCTGCTATTCAAATTTCCGACGGCGGGTCGAAATGGCACCCAAACTTACTGTCACCGTGAGTTACCCGGAACAGATACAGCTGGAATAAATCGCTATTACTTTTTATGCGGTACTTGATCTTTTCCCCACAGACGACACATCGGGAAACATTGGAATTCCAAATACAATCGAAGAAAGATAATAAAAACCAGCCCAACCAACTCAAAATAGCTCTGGCGGCTCCACTGGGGATTCCACTCAATGGATCCACGGAAGATTCCGCGTCCCAACACTCAGGCCTGTTTCATGACGACCTTGAGTTAATTTTGTGCCCAATTAGAATGGTATCAACATATTGACACCACCTTCACGTAAGCTTGAGTAGGTATCGAGAATTCATTTGGAGCACAACATGAATTCGATGTTCTAGCAACGTTGAATTCAAACACCGAGCCAATGTTGATTCAGTCTAGCAGCATTGAATAATTTTCAGCATTATTTAACTTGACAGGTGTTGAAACATCAATATTTTTGCAACGTTAAGTCGATATTGTTATGCAGACTGGGAAAGCATACCATATAAGCTGAGATTTTTCTTCCTCGGACATCACAATTTCCTCACGTGACGATGACGAGAAAGAAGAGCAACAAGTTTTCTTCTTTCTTCGAGCTTTCTGGCATACTAAAGGCTTTGCTACGATCAAGGAATCGGTCTTTATGCGAAAGAAGTTTGTTGAACAAGTCTGTGCTGATGGCTTCTATTTAGAGTTGAAAAAATATACACGGTGACAAGAATTTTCTTGTCAGTAAGCAATGTCTTACAGAGTCCAGTTTATTACGTATGCTCTTGTGAAAAAAAAAAACTCTGCTACATTAAATATATCAATAGAGGACTTTAACATGAGCCTCTATATGGAATGGTATCTGTCAACGATCTCCGAGACAAAGTTGCTATCTTTACTCATAAACGCTCGAGTTAAAATTTTCTATCGACTGTGATGATGTGCCAATACTATTGCATTCCTTTTTTGGCTAGAAATATGTAAATATTTTTCCCCCGCTATTTTTTCACTCTGCAAATTTCAATTCTTCAAAATTTTCTTGCATTCCTTGGTGAATACTTTCCCTTGCATTCATCTCATCCATCCTCTGACTTAGATCTGGTGTTCTGAAGCGTTCTGGCGTTATCTAAAGTGTAGATTCTGAACTAGATGTTACGAGAACGTCCTGCAGGGGGCAGGACACCCGATCGAAGTCAGGGGGCGACTGGAATCATTCGACCCCAAAAAGCATATTTGGCAAGCTTGCGTTTCGATGCAAGCTCACGATCCCATGGTTCTCCTCTGTCCTAAGATCCCCCAAGGGACTTCGGCCTGTTCCGACGGATTTGGCTTCATGGCTTGATCATGTAGTTTTCACCAGCAGTTTGAAGGGGAACTCTGAATTATTTTCTTATTGACAGAAAAATGGCTTCCCTATGAGTTTCTAAAAGAGAGTTAAGGACGGAACAAATAGGCTCCTTTCCATTTAAATATCAAACCATTAACCAGACATAGTTGAATAGCATGACTTATTTAAGAAAATTTAAACTGGAAGTTAAATCTAAGCAAGGTTGTATTCTGAATGACATGAATGTTGATATTTCAAGATCAAACTTTATTGACTTCCATGGAACAAATGCCATCGTCCGATTATGCCGGGAGATCGGGTGAACCACATAGAATCAATTTGTGAAGTAGCCTGATTTCGTGCATTGAGCATTAATTTTTAGGCTTTCGATAGGCACTGCTCCTGCTGCCATCTGTGGAGATCCATTGATTGAAGTGAAATAACGTGGTCTGACAGTTCTTAAGAAGCAAATGAACCAAGTTGACATAATTTTTTATTTTGTGTTTTTCTCTAGGTCTTTAAGTTTACATTTGGATTGAGTGAAAGGTGTTCCAAAATGTTGAAATGAATCTTCCAACCTGTCATCACATTGGCTACCGGAACGTATTTTGCTGTTTATTCTCAAGGTCTAGAGACTGACGCGATCTGGAAAAGTTGTAATTGTCGGTCATATGGAAGGACGCAGGAATTTTAAGCTGATCGCTCTCAGACATACGGACTGACATGGTAGCCAACGTGTTTTAAAAAATCTGCTTACTCCCACGAGAATGATTGTACGATGTGATTTACGGACATACTGTGTTTTATGGAAGCCATGCACAAACTGGCGTGGCTTGATGACTGATGGCTGAGGTATGAGAATACCTCATGTAAAGAAAGCCACCTGATTCTTCCGGTTAATATGGTGTCTTTTCCAACCATGGCAATGAATAAACGAAGAAGTGAACGCCTGAACCAAATACTGCGAGTCGCAAATTGCCAATCCACGAGCGCCGTCTCCTTTCAGGATCTTCACAAGAAATCAAATAGCCTAAATTGCCTCTTTAACTTCTACCCGACGCATTATCTCCCACTTTTTGACGATTCGTTTCTCGTGAGCTGTAGTGAACTCATCGGAACACACTGCCGAATTGCCTCGCGAGTGTCCCTGGCTTTTGTGGTGTGAGCCTCATCCAACCCTTTCCATCTGGGTATAAATGAGAAATTCGAATCCATCGCTTCCCCTCTTTGTCCATTGCTCTCATTGCATCGTGCACTGTGCATTTCTCTGAGTACGTCACGCAAATTACTAGAATGTAAAGTTTGCTTGCAGTTAGCTTTTTCATCATCTGCCGATTTTGTTGTTTTGCACGACGCATAGAAACATACAACGACCACAGCTACGCCGCCCAAGATCTTCTCTGCTCAATCGTCAGCCCATTGATCACGAAGTTTGAAGTGATGCTGATCAAAGAGTTTCGGGTGGTGCTGCCTCTCACCGTGGATGAGTTTCAGGTGGGCCAGTTGTATTCGGTGGCAATGGTCAGTAGGAGGGAAACGGGTGGAGGGGAAGGCGTGGAAGTTCTTCGTAACGAACCCTTCAGTAACCGCCCTCTTCTGAACGGGAGATATTCCAGCGGCCAATACACGTACAAGATCTACCATCTACATAGTAAAGTCCCGGGGTTCATCCGACTCCTCGCCCCCAGGGGGGCTCTCGAGATCCACGAGGAATCCTGGAATGCGTATCCGTATTGTCGGACGGTCATCGCCTACATCCCGGCCGGACCGAGCATCATGCCCACTGTCGACACGGCTTCAACTTCCATGGATGATGAGTCGCAGATCTCGAAGATATCTAACGAAAACCCGACCGACTCGTACTTGGAAGTACGGACGCTAGCCGCGAAGGGACCCCCCTTCCGCAGAAACGTTCACGAACTCCCTCCGGATAAGCTGCAGCAGAGGGAGGTGACATTGATCGACATAGCGAATGACTTCGTTCTGCCGGGTGATTACGACCCGAAGGAAGACCCCACGATATTCCAATCCGTGAAGACGGGTCGCGGGCCTCTCGTTGGGAAATGGATGGAGACGACGAAGCCGCTGATGACTTGTTACAAGTTAGTGACGTGCGAATTCAAATGGTGGGGTTTTCAAGGCAAGATCGAATCTTTTCTTCAAAGGTCGGAACGTCGCCTCTTTCTGAACTTCCATAGGCAGGTTTTCTGTTGGATCGACGAATGGTATGGGCTAAAGATGTCAGACATTCGAGCCATAGAAGACGAAACCAAGAGGCAACTCGACCGGCTAAGAAAATCGGGCGCCGTGCGAGGAACGAGAGCGTAAGAAAGAACGAGCCAAATTTCATATGCCGAAAATGGGCATACAATAAAATGAACAGAAAAATGGATCCTAAAGAATGCAATAAAACGATTGCTGCTGATGGCTCCTAATTGTCTCGATCTAGTTCTGTCGTGAAACAGTGGACCAAAAGTCAGGAGGCATATTGAAGACATCGTTGCGGACAGACGGGAGGAAGCATTGAGCTGTTATTTCAAGAATGCATGCAACAGCCGATGCGCCATTGCCTATTTAGGTAATGGCGCATCGTCTGTTGCACGTGAGACGTAGGTCTCAGGCGGCGCTGCTACAACAGTTCTTCTACGTGGCCTCCTTTACTGATGACGAGGGCTTCCATTCCGGGTCCGACATTCACAGCAGCTGCTCGGAGCATCTCTGGCAATTAATAAAAACTCATCTGGCTGATCCGTCGCTCCATAGACAGCACTCTGCTCATTGCTAGCTGCTGTCACGCTCATCGTGCCTTCATACCCTGACCCATGTGAACGCGGAGTTCCATCAGTGCCCCCGATGACCCAAGTTCCGAAGCGCGTGATGCCGTCTGCATCGGTAGCTGCACGCACCACTGAAGTAACAGGCTTTTGGCTTCCCCATATTTTAATAGTTAACAATTCATTCTTTCCTCCAAACTCGGTTGTCAAGTGAAGTGCTATGGGACCTGCCTGCATTTGCAGCTTCTAGAGTGCAATGACTTGCCACTCTTTTCTCGATATCTTCCACTGTCGACTTCTTTTTATGCGTTATATATATTATATTATGAGGGTTTTCAGTGGTCTGTCGTGGCAATTTTCTTCCTCGTTAAAGGAGGGGGCTCTTCTGCCGATTTTTCGGTTTTTCCAGGGATACATGAGTAGGGATACTCTGGCTGTTTCTCAAGGAGTGCAAGACCAAATTAAATTAGCTTTCGAGGGCAGGCTAAGAAATCCGGTTTTTATAAATCTTAACGTTCAGTCCATCTCATTGATTCTCCGCAATATGTTCTAGCATTTTGCTGGTCCGAGCAGGTCTGCCTCGATCTTGCTTCGAAGCTTTCTTAGGTTTCCATCCCCGTTTTGGATCGTGCGTCTCCTTGCGCTGTAACTTCAATGCTTATTGTAATGCTGGTTTTCCACGAATAAACATTTGAAATGTCAGCTAGGAGACTTTAAAGAGTTCCTCTAGCGGAGCAAAATGTCTTAAGACAGATAAAATCAGGATCAAGATCAAGATAGTGAGTATCTCATTATTTTCCAGTAAAATCCTTGCCGAATTTTTTTCCGTTTAGGATTATTAGCAGCTCCCGATCAGCGATATGAAAATTCTCCAATTGCTATATGCTAATAGAGTGAAACTGTTTGCTTCAGGAGCTGCAATGAAGAAGAAATTTCAATCCTGTATGGATTGACGAAAGAGAGCTTTGCATCATTATTTCATTTACTTAATTTCCCAATAATTTCATTTATTTCCCATTTCATCCAGCTCAGTTTTTATTTATGAGCCCAAAAGCAGCCTCATCGTTATTATTGAATTTGGTGACTGATCATCGACTGTTAACAGGAACTCAACTGCTGCGATCCATTTTATTATATTATATTCATTCATATATTCATTGACTTATAAAAATATTTCCTGAAGGTAGGCTCCATTAAAACAAGTCTGTAAGGTTCAGATACTCTTTTCAGAAGGAAGGAGGGCGCGACACTTAGCCAGGGTCGCGAGGGGGCTCGTACATGAAATATTTGAGAACTGCAGCCGTTTGGATGTGAAAGGATAACTCTAACCTTTTTTTCCTAAAAAAAAAAACGTTAACTTTATTTATGGCGTCCATAGTGCAATTTTCTTCATTCAGCTCTTCATGGTGAATTTTGCTTAATACAATATGTGTATGTATAATACAATAATAACATGTACATCCAATTTGAAATAAAGTCTCAGCATTCAATTTTTTTTAAGCAACTGAATGAAACCTCTTATGGAACTTTGGAACTTAGAGTGCAGAAGAGTAAAACAGCAAGTAAATGAAAACCTCACTCCTTCACAAGACTCTTAGGAACCGTGATACTCCTATATTCCCATGAGAATAGCATCAGATTCCCAAGGGAATTCCATGGGAATCCTATGCTCCATTCTAATGGGAATCCACTCCTCCAATGTTTCCTTCGCCCTTGTCTGCTGGCAAAGGGAAGCAATGAGAAGGGCATATACAGGTACAGTCATTCTGACATTTGCTTATCGATGGGGTAGTCATATTGTAATTGAGGGGGGCTATGACTACCATCTGTAGGTCGTGGAGAACGCTACTTTCAGAGGATTCGCTTCGTCAGACGATCCAAAAAACTACCTTTGTGGAAAGTGTCATTACCTGCAATCGATGGAAGCGCTCCTTTGGGAGGGAGGGAGGTATTAATTCAAATTCAATCCGTAAACAGTGTACTACGGGGTGTCCCGTAATTCACTATACCATTTCAAAAAATCACATTCGGGTCATTCCATGCCAAATTCTGAGATGGTACCTCTTATGCGATTGGAGTGATTTGACTTGGACTGACCCATGCATTAAGCAGTTGACATTAAAAAAAAGTAACATTAACTGAACGATAGCATGTCATTTGAAATTATCTTTGTCAAAAATGTAGGTATTTCTACGTTTTGAAAGTGCCTCAAAATCCTCTTTGCCTACATCAATACATTTAGCATGAGGCTCGGCATAAAAAAAATCACCGAAACTCCCCTTCAACTCTGATGGGACTCTCAAAGACCTCCATCCAGGTTACAACTTTTCTTCTTTGCTGCAGCGTCAATTGTGAAGCCTTTTCTCACGACAGCATAATTGCTTATGCTGTCGTGAATGACTTCAATTAAATACTTTATTTTCTGTTCCTTAAGTCTTTCTGAAGCTAGGAGAGAATAACAAAGTTTAGCGAATTTGTAAAAGAGGATTCAATGAAATGTACCAAAAATGTCCCTAATCAAGTACACCTTTCTAATATGCATTTGTAGCTATTTTCGTTTGAGTCTGATTCAAAGTAATTTCATGAAAAATTTCTAAAAAAATTTCTAATTCTATGAAAAATTTCTATTTCTTCTAATTTCTCGCATTCCACGCGTTCACCACTCTGCAAGTAAAGAATTCCTGTCTCGACCTGAGCCGCACCTGCGGTTTGCGCAACTTAAGTCGGTTACCTCTCGTTCTCTTGCTGTCATCAAACTGGAAAAACCTACCACACTCGACATTATCTATTCCTTTAATTATCTTGAAAGCCTGGATGAGATCGCCCCTCCTTAACCTTCGTTCGAGCGAGTACAGTCTCAACACTTCTAAACGCTTCTCGTATGATAGTCCCCTAACCTCCTTAATCATTCTTGTGGCCCTCCTCTGTACTCCCTCGAGCGCCAACAAATCGCCCTTATTTGTAGGCCTCCAAAACTGGATGCAATATTCCAGCTGGGGTCTTATCAGCGCCGCATACAACGGAAGAATAACGCGAGATGTCCTACTTGCAACCGACCGACGAATGTAACCTAGAATCCTATTGCATTTGGCCACCGTCGCTTGCGCGTGCGAGGAAAACTTGAGGTCCTCATCGATAGAAACACCTAAATCTCTCTCTCCGTTTGCCTCATCCAATTTAACATCGCCGAACGTGTCGAGAGACCTACCGTTGTTTCGACCGACGTGGAGAACTTTACACTTACTTTTATTAAACCTCATGAGCCATTTCTTGCTCCACTCGTCCAAAAGACTTAAATCTCGCTCGGCTCGAGCCCTATCCGCCTCCCCCCTTATGGTAAAACCTATCTTGGTGTCGTCGGCAAATTTACTTATCTTACCCTCTACGCCGAGATCCAAATCGTTTATGTAGACCAAAAACAGAAGCGGTCCAAGGACCGAGCCTTGAGGGACACCGCTTGCGACTCCGACCTCCTCCGACGCTTCCCCATTTATCATCACCCGTTGCTCTCGTCCTGCCAACCAGCTACTGATCCACTCACTCGTCCTACCCTGGATCCCGTGCGCCTCCAGTTTAACCCGCAACCTCTTGTGAGGAACGGTATCGAAAGCTTTCGCGAAATCTAAATAGACGATGTCCACAGGATTCCCTTTATCCCTCTCTTCCGTCGCCCAGTCGTAGAATTCGAGCAAATTGGTGAGACAATTTCGACGCCTCCTAAAGCCGTGTTGAGAGTCCCGAATGAGCGCGTTTCCTTCGAGGAAATCCAAGAGATGGTCCCTTAGTATACTACTAACAACAATGACCTGCTTGTTGCAGTTTTGAAAATATTGCAGTTTGAAATGGTATAGTGATTTATGGGAGACCCTGCATACTCAAGCCTTATTTCTTGACAACATGCCTTTCCCTGCTCCTTTATGAGCGTCAAATCAAGTCAGCAAGGCTTTTATCAGGCTGAGCAGACGATGGGATGTAAACCGTCTATCATGGCAGCCTACTGCGTTACAATGATGTTTCAAGACGTCTCCCATTTTCTCATATCATAACAGTCATAGCTTCAAAGTTGAAGTAACTGAACCTTCGAAGCACAGAACCATTCCTGAAACATTTATTGAGATTTCTTTGTCGTATCTATGTTTTAGGACTCAATGAAATGTGAAACTTGTCGATTGGCATGGATTGGCCTCTTGGCTCAGCTGCTTATTCTGCCATAAGGAAGATCGCCAGTCACTTCAGCCCAGGCGTGTGCCTCATATCTTCTTTCTCGTCAAGTGCAAAATGACGCACGTTCAACATGTGGAGGAATTGATTCGAGAATACTTGGTATTTCGCGGTTATTCAAGCGCGCTCAAAGCATTTGATGCTGAGCTGAAGAATGAAAAAGATCGTGGCCTCCGGGTTAGTTCTGTTGTGCTTCCCGAAATGCAGTGACTAGCCTTCTGGTTCCAGGAGACAAAGTATCTTACAGTGTTTGTCACTTCAGTTAGACCCTTTTTCACTTGACTTCGACACTCATGCATGAGGAACGTCCCACGCACGTGTGTCAGAGTCAAGTGAAAAATTTACTAACTTTAATGAAAGCATTGTATTAACTCCCCCTTGCAGGCTGCAGGAATAGGTCTATGATGGAAAATTAAAAGGAAGTTAGTACAAGTTGAGTTTTCACTCAAGGTGTACTTTACTGTAATGTAGAAAATAGCTATGTGGTCATGTAGAATGGGAGTCTTTCAAATGGATTTAAATTGAAGCCTTGAATATTTGGAACATTTCAGTTGAGACACGTCTTTTGGCCAATATTATCTTCTCATCTCCCAGAGAATCATAGAAAAACTCAATCTCTTGAATGTATTGAACTTTCTAATGAAGTCTGAAACTAGGCCTAGCTTTGCCAATGGACTCAAGATTCATAGGATCTCACATTAAAACTCTTATCAGCACTAACCCATTAATGTTCTAGTACCCCTGTGTAGCAGTGAAGGAATTTGATACTTGTTGTCCTGGACCTGAGTGCTTTGATAAAACATCCTTTGTGTGCTTTCAACTTCCTGTACACACATTCCTGTTTTAATCAATTTCAAGTACCATTTATTGCTTAAAATGTAACCAAATTTTTCATGGAACTTAATACTTAATTAAATTACATTTTTTTAATAGTTCCAAAAATAATTTTGGCAGTAGCTACAAGTACAGATCTGTATCACCATGCTTCTGTGCTTGTAGTATGGTGTTCATTGTGTCTGTTTGTTTTTGCTTCCTGGGCAACCTCCCATGGTTAAATGTTTTTCAGGGCTTCTGTGTAGGCCTGAATGTGGAAATGGCTATGAAGTTTTTCAAGATAGTCTGATAATCACACTCCAGAAATTTAGGAGGCTCACATTATTTGCTTAAAAGATTAATTTAATAATTAAAAGATGCTGATAAAATAAAGAACCATGGGTTTAAGTTTGACTTGCAATTTTCAGAATTACCTTTTTTATGTACACAGAAGTATCTTGGCAATATTCAGTATACATAATATTAACAGGTTTCTATGGTTTGATAAATGGTAAAATTGTGCATTTTTTAAAAACATTCCTCATAAAATTCTTATAAGTGCAAACTGCACTGTCAGTATATGAATGAAATCCTATATGGGCAAAAATTTATATTATACCTTTAAAAGTTAATAGATATTAGTTTATATATGAATCAGAATCCAATTCAGGAATGATTGTCATGCATATCGAAAAATTAATTTTGAAAATATTAGAAATGAACCAGACTTAATATTGGTGAATCAGGAAGAGAATTTTCTAATTGGAACATATAAAATTTGTTCCATGCTCTGTAATTTTAGATTCAATAAAAGAACGAGATGAGGAAGTCCAATGGATAAATGGGGATGGAGTGCTGAGGGAATGGGGAGATTCATCCAATACTGACTGGCTGCAAAAAAAGAATCTACCTGGCTGTTATATTATTTCATTAGGATGTCATGAGGTTGAAATGATGAAAAACCAGCAGCTGAATTTCTTGAAAGGTTGAAAGTCTGAATAATGAAGAATTATTCAGGGACAGGTTTTGGCTATCACCTGACTGGAGGAATAATTGAATGGAATTATCCCCATGCAACTGAACAAGGGCAGAGAAAGACCTTAACTTTGCAGCATTTCAGAAATTTGTTGAATAACTGCTCTGAAAAGACACGGGATGTATAAAGTTATAGATGATTGATGATGTTTGTAAATCAGCTAGAAAGTGAACACACTTGTAAGAAAGAAATATTTGTGATATAGAGCTGGGAAAGATAATTTATTGGCAGTCGCAGAAGATTATAGGAAACAAAATGCACTGAACTTTCTCTGAGGACTTATCTACATTGTGTCATTTTGCCTTTCTTTGACTTTGGTTATTGCTTATTCTGAAGTATTATTGTTTAATTTCTTTTCCATGCTTCTGTATTGAATTTCTTGTGTTTTGATGTTCAGAATCTTCGACCTTAGATTTCTGGTATGATGAGGGAAAAAAATAAAAGTCAGCCAGTTTATATTCAGATTCTCCAAAGGAACATTTTTATCCCTTTACCTTTTTGTATCATTGACCTTTTTTTTTGTTGTCTTCAGTGGCTTCCATGCAAAAATAGGGATTTCTTGAGACCAGGTCTATAGAAGCTATTGTCATATTAATCTTTGAAGGTAGAAGTTCTGCAAATCTAGGAAACTATAGACCCATACTTATTTTTGCCATTAATCAGATAAGTATGAGAAAAATTGAGCAAGTGAAGATTGATGAAATCTTTGGAGAAGACATACAAGGGGTGATCAAAAAGTTCAGGGACTGAATTTTTTATGATGCTGTGGTGACTCTTTCCAATTACTGATGGTTATATTCTTCAAACTAGTCCTCTTCAGCATCTGCACAAATTTTCCAGCATTTCTTCAGCTGCTGGAAACATAGCTGATACCTAAAATTTGGAATCACCAGCAGTGCTTGTGTTGCATTTACAATTTTGATTTGAATGCCTGAAATATTCATTTCAGCACATTCTTCAGCTTAGGGGGAAACAAAAGAAAATCCTAGGAGCTAGGTCAGTCAAATTGGGTGGTTTATGAAGCACGGGGATTGTGAGATAGGTCAGAAACAGGTGACATTGGAAAATGAAGGAAATTTCAGGACATTTAAAGCAGCATAATGAACATGCCATGAGTGTTGCTGGTGATTCCAAAAGATGTGTGTCAGCAATTATACAGCTGTTTCTATGTTAGCTCTAATAATAGGTTCATCGATCTACTTGTCTATCTTTTAATATGGCAATGTTTTGAGTACTATTTACCATTTAAGCCATGTCTATTGACTGAGGCCCCTAATATCCCACTTCTTTAAGGCAATTATAATTCCCAAAATGATTTCTTTCTATGAGGGGAGGTGAAAAAGTAATAGCAAATATTTTAGTAGTGGAAAACCTGACAAAATACTAACAGACATAATCATACACATTCTGTAGCATCAATATTGGCATCAAGCTTGTACCCACCCTATTTGTTGGAGGTGAAACTTTGACCACATCTGTGTGGCTGCTGGATGTGGACACAGATGTGGCTAAAGGGTAAAGCAGAGGTAACAGTCATCATCAAGAAAGGATGTGAAAGAAAAGCATTGTGCAATCATTGAATACCTCATTAAGGAAGGTGTGAAGAGGGTGGGCATCATGAGATATTTATGCATGGATTCACCTTTTCCCTGCCCTGTATTGTTTCCTGCACTGACAGGTTCAACACCTGTGATGGGCTGACTGGTTATTGGATGTTGGCTGAAGAGCTAACTTGCACCAATTTAGCTAACATTTATGGCAAATGGGTGCATCATTGGGAGAAGTGCATAGCTGTGCACAGGGACTATATGGAGAGTTAAGGTGTGTACAAGCATAAGCAGTTATATTGTGACATTTTTGCCTGCACCATGCTGGAATTGCAGTGCACCACCATTCCTGCCATGACTTTGGCATCTTCCCTTATGTTTATAATCACAGTATGTAGAGGTCCTTCTCTCTGCTTTTTAAGTCAAAACCGATCAACCTAATCTGGATGTGCATGATGAAAAGCTGAGGGTATATAAGGTGACTGCAATCAACAGAGTTCTCCTCTTTCCACATATAAGTCACTCTGCCTAATCTTGATTTACCAGGTTCACTATCAGCACTTAAATGAAAAATTCCAAGGCACGAATAAATTCTTTGTATGTCTGATTTTTTAATATCATGTAGCATTTGTCTATTTTGTTATTCACTGGCTTTTCACTTGGTATTCCAACATTAAATTGGATCAATTAAGTTTCTCCTTAGCCCTGTGCCTTGGGTAAATAAGAACTGCATTTCATGTACTAGCAAATATACTAGCAAATTAATTGATCTTGTGGGCTTGTCATTCTTTGAGGAACATTGGCCCTTCACATATGGAACTCTTTACACTTCTTGTAGGTGGATCGGATTGTTGACCAGATCATGACTTCCATAAATCTTTATGATCTACAGTCCTTCAAAGATACTTGGTCCCATTTGGAGATGAAGCTCTTTTCTCGGTTGGAACACAGCTCTGTGCCAGGTGAGGTCTACCAAACTCTGATTGCTGTCAAAAGTTCAAAAGGCAATCAAGGTGGAAAACGTTAAACTTGAGACTATAAAGAGAAAAGTAAGCATTCGTGATTGCCATATGAGTCAAAAAGTCCTCTGATCATTTTTTTTCAGGAAAGTTGTTTCTTTCACTCAAAAGTGATACAGTCCTTGTCAGTGTTATTGCCCTGTGAGTCTCTGCAATTTTTTTAATAGTGGGCATACAGTTCTTGCTGTATGTCTTTAGTCTGCTCTTTGCAAGGGCTTGTAGTACCCTAGTTGGGGTGCTCATGATTACATCCTGATTGGTAGATCTGTATCTCTTCAACAAAGAAGATCTGAAGATAAAGGAAAAAGTTGCTGGGTGGTGCCTAGTCCAATGAACAGTGAGGATGGCTTATGGTAATGGTTGAGTGCCAATCCAAAAGCATTCCAAAAAAAAGTGAATCCCACTGTAGGATAATGCACATGTGCATGTGTCTTCATTGTGTATGACTTTCTGGCATGCCAACCAAGTCAGTCAATTACAACCACCAGTCATCCCTCCTTTTTGCCCAAATGGACACCCTGTGACTTTTTCCCCTTTCTATGGCTCAAGTTCATTTTGAAGGGATGGGAATCTGTTATTAGTGATCTGACCATGAGTGTCATTAAATGTGCTATAAAAAGTATATGAACTCATAGGGATGCTCTTTTGAAGGGGACCATGTCACCTTGGAAGTGGAAGAGTCTGTTCCCCACAAAGGAAACTTTCAGTGAACTTTTTAAATGTATTTTTTCTTATTTACTTTCTTTTATACATTTTTTAATGTCACATAAATGTTCATATCCCATACCCTTGATCTTCCTACATTTCTTTTGGAAACATTCAGCATATCTAGAAGGTGTCTCCCTGTCAAATCCCTTACTAACCTGTTGTATATATCCCATCCCTATTTAGCATTCTTTTGTTTTATTTTCCAGATCTTACATTCCATTTTGTTTCTATCTGTCCACTCCTCACATTTTTCTTTCCCCCCCCCCCCCCCCTTCCTGGTCTTGCCTTCTGATCTTCCACTTTCCCAGTAACCGGAGTAGGAAGAACATTTAAAAACAAGATTAAAGAACACTAAATTAGTTAAACTGCATTGATTAAAGAACTTTTTAATACCCATCATGTCAGTATTGGTAGAGAATGTTCACTTAATTTCATGCAGTTAAAAATATACCACATTTGTTGACACCATGTAAATTATGTATATTATTCATGTTAAATTTTTAATTTCTACTTTCTCTAAATTATATTTTCTTTCCCTGCAGCTGTCAAGAAATTGGAGAATGCTCTCCTGAAACGTTATGTGATGAATGTAATTCAGAATGGAAAGCAAGACAAGTTGATAGAATTCTTTGAGAAGATGGGCCCAGAACTTCAGGGCCAAACAGAATGGAAGGATTGGTTTGGTATGTATGGTTTTGCTCTATGTCACTGATGAAATGTTGAAAATTTTCAGCTTTACTCAATAATCATGTTATTAAAACGTTGGCGACAATGCGTCCTGATGCCAGGATGCAGATTTTTTTTCACTGAATACCCACTGGAACTGTTGAAAACGTTCCAGAAGATTATGATTTCGTAACTACTGATAAAAANGAATACCCTCTGGAACTGTTGAGAACGTTCCAGAAGATTATGATTTCGTAATTACTGATAAAAATGTAAAAAAATTCAACATTTTAAAAAAACTCGGCCAAAAAAAATGTTTTCTGGGACCATGCGTCCTGATGGCAGGAAGCATTTTTTGACAAAAAAAATGCGCGTGGTCTCACGTGGCGGACAAGCAAAAATAGGCTGGTTGTCAACGTGTTAATGGTATTGATCACTCTATAGCATGGGTTGGGAACCTTTTCTTGGCCATGTGAGCCAAATTTAGATTGATGCAAGTGCTCATGAGCCAAAGGTTTTCAAAACAGAATTTTTTCTGAAGTCGGTGATAAAAACATATGCATTCCTTGATGCATGAGAAAAATGAGGAACAGCCATGATTTTTACTGTCCGAAACTTTCATTGCTAATGAAAACTGAATATCCACCAATTTTGCTAACAAAAATGTTAAAATCAGTTGAAATAAAATTGAACTAACGCAAGACTTATTTGTTTTGAAATTTCTCTTGCCTTCATTATCAAAACAATATTTGTAAAATGTTGACTCTAAAATGGGGGTTGCCTGGAAAAGAAACCTAAAAGTAATGGATTCTCATAATCTACTCATTGTTAATATATCCTACTCTATCCAAAAGCTGCAAAATAAGTATTTTGTATATAAGTTACTTTTTAGCTTTGAAAGAACATGCCATTCAGAGTTTCAACATGAGTGTGATGTACAGTTTCTCCAGGCTCAGCAAGGGTTTATTAGGGACAGGGAATCATATGGGAAATAATTTGGTCCACTTCAAATTTGCCCCTTCTTACAATCTTAGGTTTTTCTACTCACATAGTTTGCTACTCTGCATTATTCCAATTCAGTCTTGGTTCTGTTGCATTCAATATGGCCTTTGCTTCAAATAATTAAAACATTACATTTAATTTTTCATCTTTTTTCCAGTTGTTTTATTTTATGAGAAACCCAGTTGTTCCTAGAAAATGTCTTGTTTCAAGAAGTCATCCCCTTTCTTCACATGTTCATTGGGAAGAGAGTACAAACTGAAGCCATGAAAGAGAGATTTCCCTCAGACTTGGGTAGCCCTGGGACTTTCTGCATACTTTTGTTTCCATGAACCATTGACTGCATTTTGTTTCATCTCCAGTCCCAATGTAGATAATAAGACTTGTACTTTTCAGTTTAGATTCTGTGGTTGGCTCAAGAAAACCAAGTAATTCTATTTAATTTTCAGTTCACATCATCTTTGGTTCAATTCCCTGAACAGAAGGATTATTTCATATCATAGGTCAAAATCTGACCTTTGTTTTATATTTGTTGAGGCCTGCTTAGGAAAAGTGGAAGGGAGAGGATTGGATGCATTAATAGGATTAGGTCTAGGATAGGATTAGGCACTTTTACTCTTCATGGATTAATTATATTACTTTTTGGTTAGTTCCTTCATGGTGAGTTGCCATTTTTGATCGGGAAAAACATTTTATCTCACTGCATGAAGGATGCTTACTCATACTTGAGGGACACACAGAAGAGGTTTGTTAAAATGGCTTTTCTAGTTGAGTTTCTGGAATGCAGCCTGAAAGTTGTTAAGCGTTGACAGAAGGTGCTTTGTACTTTGTGGATGATCTCTAGAATTCCAGGAGCACATTCATTGTTGCAGTGGCTAACCAAAGGAGGGGTATAGAAAGCCTACATCTTCTCATGATGAAATTGCTCATCATCTTTAATCTGCTGTGTTTCAGTTATCTTTCACATAGTTTTTAATTTTTTTAAATCCACATGGAAGAGTGGAAGCCAACTACAGCTACAGGCTACAGCTCTGTACTTTATGGGCAGCCTGGACTTTAATAGATGAATACCATTTTGGATTGGTCTGAGCAGCACCATGTCATTATTCCAAAGTGCAGTATTCTGGGGAATATGTTCTAACATAACATAACATGACTGCAAACATGATAAATTTCTCTTGATTTTAATGCGACTTATGTGCTTGTATCACAAGATTCTGTTCATTCTCATTTTATCTGGTATAGACTGCCTAGAATTGTAGGAAATGGGCTGGGTTGGCAGATATGGCTGTGTGAGTACTAAGCTTTCATTTCTTAGCCTATTTAGGATGTAGTTAAGAGGTGAGGGTGAGGAAGTATAAGGAAGACTTTATATTGTTGAAAGTATGACTATTGTAGGGTTGTAATTATCACTGATTTTAATTTTGTGACTGTTGATTCATGTATTGATTTATTTATTCATTATATTTGCATGCAGTTCTTCCATTTGTGAAGAATCCTGAAGATAATCCAGCTTTTGCAGTCTACTTCACAAGGCAGTGGCAGGACACCCTGACTATATCCCTCCATAACTTTTTAGCCATTGCTTTCCAGGTGAGATGAATTAATTGTAATCCATTCTTGTTTTAGATTGTTGCCAGTCAATTGAACTTCTTTTCCTGGATGACTGTACCTTATAATCAGGGAATTTTCTCAAATATGGGCATGTATGGTAAATTATAGCAAGTACTAATATGCTCTGACAGTATCATACAGCATGTTTAATGGGTTTCATAATTCAGACTTTCATGATTGTGGTCTATTTTTATATACTAATGAAAAAAAACTGAGCAGTGTAGCATCCCCAGCTGGGAAAGAGAATATTATCTGGTATCCTGAACCCCATTCAAAGCACAGCTCATGTCACTCTTAGTTTTATTCATGTAATGGCAAGACGAGGAATGAGATAGGATCATAGGGAATGTGTGCGATAGGAGCCAATAAGGGCCAGACAGTCTTTTGAGCTCAGGATCTTTTCAGGCAAACACCTTCTCTTTTCCTTGCCTCCACTGCTCAGTTTATTTTTTGTTGGAAAGGTACATTAACCCTTTGAGGAGTAAGTTTTCTACATGCTCATTGGGCATTTTGAAGAAGAAATTGACATATATATATTTTTAAATGATATATATCTTTAAAATATTTTATCACGATGTGATAATAGTCTATTATAGTGCATGAAAGGCAAAGAATGCAGAGAACTAAATAAAAAAGAGATACAACTTGAAATTTAACTTCTGAAAAAAAATATGAAGATGTATATTTACAGGCATACTCCTCAAAGGGTTCAAGAAGGCTTGTGAAATACTTAATTTCATGATTTTTTAAATCCCCCTTTCAGGCCATGCCCTTACCAAGATTATGCAGTTATGAAGATGAAGCTAGCAGAATGAATGCACTTGTTAAGGAAAATGAAGCTCTCACTGCACGTTTGAAAGATGCTTCTGTGCAGCTGGCTTCTCCGGAGCTTCCCCCAAGGGGTGAGATCATGGATGACTTCTCTGCTATTGCAAAGTAATTTTTAAGTATTATCATTAATTATGTGTATGCCTGAAATTCACTTTTTCAAGTGGCTTGTTACCTTGTGCTTCCTCATTTTCTCAGAGAAAACAGCTCAGGAGAAGGTCAGGGAAAATTGCTGAAGAACTTCATTAAAAACATCAGCACTAACATAAGTGGCACTGCTGTTTCAGAAGTCCCTGTACCCAAGAGAGGGCAGGTTCCAAGTGAGTTTGAATTTGCATCTGTTGTTGATTCATTATTGTTATTAAAGCAGAGGTTGGAGTTGAACTTGCAAGCATCTATTGAGGTTCTTGGACTAATTTGATGGTTTTGAACCTACTAGATTGACTTTCTTTTACAAGCAGGGATTTCAATATATTTTTTTAAATTGAAATATGACTGCTCACATGAATTTTTCCCTTATTCCAAAAGATAATGCATGGAGACATTCTCCAATATCTGAACCTGTTGAGCACAAGAGCAGAGAATCATCTGGAAGGGATTCCTATAGCAGAGAGATACCACGGTCAGTAGTCAGCCACAAGATCACTTGTAATAAATGTAGAATTCTTATATAAGTTGACATACTCTCTAACCATTATCTTGTGGCAATCCATAGGAAGAGTGACTTTTTCTTTCTTTTTCTCTTCATATGCACACAAGTGAGAAACACCCACCTGTGAAGCGACTGTCACAGTCAGTCCCTCCTCAAAAGCTGTTGGAGAATGCTCCTACATCATCATCTGAAGTATCTCAAAGTCCTCATTCTGCGGAGAGAACGCCATTTCTCCTCCTGAGTCAGGTGATGAATGTTTTGTCATAGTTTCTGATGAGGGATAACTTTGTGCTTCATCAGATATGAAGTTTGTTGCCTTTTTGCACTTTTTGCATTTCATGACATGAACAGGAGGAGTATCGAGATCATAAGAGTGTGATCTGTCAGTGCAAATTTAATGCTACTGGATCATTAGTGGCTTCATCTGATGTGGATGGAACCTTGAAAGTTTGGACTTGCACACCATTACAGTAAGTTTGTATTAAATCAGTAATTTTTTGGGATAGGCCTATGATCCTTTGTATTCCTTCATTTCTGAATGCTTACTCATGTTTTTTTAAACTGCTTCAATAGGACAGTTGCTGCTCTAGTCTTCAAGGATGCAGTCACATGCTTAGATTGGGCTCCCAAGAGAGAAAGTCTTCTGCTTCATGGGACTAGAAACGGTTCCTTCCGTGTATATGACACAAAGGAAAAGAAGTGTATTTATGAAATGGGCCCTGAACAACATCCTGCATTCCGGGATAAGAGGTATCATGTGAGCTTTCATAGTGCCATGCATGTTATAGATATTGCTGAATTTTGCCTTTTATTTCACTTGTGACTGGTTTTAGGTTGATGACTATCCGTGTGAGCCCCACAGAAAATGTAGCTGCTATAGCTGTTGGACCACAGTCACGTCCTGGTCCAGATGGTCGTCTACTCATCTGGGATATGAGGAATTCAGACTTTGAAGTGGGTTTGGTTTCTCTGTTGGTGATTCTCTTACAGTAGTGTACAGGATCCCCCAGAACTCAAGACCAATGAGATAGGGGGACAAAAGTGAGGATCAAACTCAAAATGAAATGCCAGAACAGAAGAACAAAAGTTAATGGTTTTTTTTCCACACACCAAAATCACCATTCAGCAAGTTGCACATAAATACTGTTCAGGTGAGAAAGTGAAATAGTCTTGCATTTCATGGCATGTGGCTCTCAGAAGTGGCCAACCTGCTGACTTGACATAAGCAGTTTAATTTAGGCATTGACATTACTTTCTTCTCTCTAACACTCTGTAACAATGGTTCTGGTGTGCACAAATTAACTCATGTATCATTCTTTGCTTCTGACATACTCTTTTTGTTTGTTCTTCCATCTGGCTTCACCACACCATAAAGTTACTGGTCATGAATTCTGGGAGATCCTTTTTAGTCAGTACAAGGTTCTGGAGAAAGTCCATATACTGAAATGGCCTTTGTCTTTGCAGAGGCAACTGTCTCTTGACCCTACTCCCACTGTGGTGAATTCCTGTGCATTCAACCACAATGCACAGTTGCTGTTTGCTGGATCTGGGGATGGGAGAGTCAGGATTTTTGATCTCAGGCAATCTGAATGTATTGCCTCCTGGGTTGCACACATTGGAGAACTGTTTTGCATGCAGATAGCTCATGATGAAACTTCCTTGTATACCCTTGGATCTGATGGGAAGGTATGACATTAATATCTCCTATGTTGGACTACATAATTCACTCTCAGTGAGCTTCAAGGTTTTTGGTCTGCATAATTTTTCAGTTTCAAAGTTGGAGCTTGACCCAGACTAGTAGAAAGTTGTGGGAGACAGCACTGCATGAAAAAGCAACAGGTCCCTTCATGATTCAGCCTACTGGTCAAGGTGGAAGACTGATTCAACATCATCCCTATGGCAGTTTGTTTGCTCTTGATGGTGATGGTAAAAATGTTCTCACTGCATCATCTGATGGTGGAGTTATATACAAGGTGAGTTTGGATGTCAATGTTGCCTTGGTACTGGTGCTCTGTATTAAAAACTGTAGAAGTATTGCCCAAGGCAGCAATAACAATTTTGAATATATATTTATATTATTTATTAACTTTTTGAGGTTCTTTGTCCCATTGGGTGGGTCATTTGTCATAGGGTTTTTAAAAAAAATGGACTGCAAATGGTTAAAACAGTCTTCTGGTTAACATGATCCTGTGCTTTCCTCTTATAAGTATCCATGTCAAAATTAAGATTCAGGCTTTCCATCATGATTTCCAATTGATAAACTTATGTTGATGTATTTCAGATATGCAATTCATCCCAGACCCTGGAACGAATTCTGGTATTGGGTGGCCACAAAGCCAGTGTAACCACAGTGGATTGGTCTGTGGCCATGAATTGTGGAACTTGTCTCACTGGAGGATTGGACGGGAAAATCCGGGTATCCACACTTCTTAGTCCGTGATATTTAAATCCAAAAACTCATGCAGTACTGGTTTTGTTCAAACAAAGGGCTTGGAGCATCTCTGGCCGAGTCATTTGGCTGGATGTGCTTTGTGTGAGATGTTTTAAACCAATATGGATTCAAGCATTAAACTTTGTATTCCTACAACATAACACTCCAGTGACCCCCTTCTGACATCACAATATATCAGTTATGGTGCACCTACTTTGGGTGTGTGGTATCACTCCTTACTGCTGTTAGATACTCAAATGATTGTATAGGCTATAGAGGGAGTGTGCTAAGTTGGGACCATGATTTTGAGCCTCACATTATCAATTCTGTTATGCTTTTAATTGATATAGAGTGATAAGGTAGCTTCCAGTATTTTCAGTAATAGAGTGGAGCCTATTGTTGTTATGATCAGAACACTGATGCATTACTGATGATAAAATAATGTATCCAGTAGAACAGGTCATTGTGAGGGCACACAGGTTATGATTAGTAATTCAGTGATGTAGCCGTCATTCATTTGACATATTGTGGGGTTCATATTGGACATGAGAATTCTGACATGATGTGGACATTGTAGGTTTGCCATGCTGCCATGCTTAGTCAGTAAAGCCAATCAAATCAAATTATTCTTTTACAAAGCAATTTTCATCTTTCTCCTTTTCCACCTTCCTTTAATAGACAGAATGCTATGAAGATACTCTATGAAAATCCTGTCTGTTGTGATCATTCATGGAGGGAAGAGTATTTTACAGACAGTGCTTGTCTGTGCCTCAATTCTTATTTGTTTTTCCCTAAGAGTCTGCTGAACTGCACTCTGTGCTACCTCTGATTTTGAGATTTGTGTGTATCAGAAAATGTAACCATTATTCAAATACTGGTATTCAACTTAGAATCATGGAAATTTCCTCTATTATTTTCTATCATTTTTGGCATTTGTGTCTGTGATATAATTTTATTCCCTGCTTCTTTTGTGAGAATCTTTGAGGTTATTGTAGTACAAGGAATGGAAGTTGATGGTTTTTCTTTTCAGTCAAGTAGATTGGAGCATTTATTGTGATTCATGCTGCTTGTGCAGCTAATGTCCATGTGACATTCCTAATGCGCATATGTTATTTTATCTGTCATTTTAGGCATACTATGTGAAAGGTGTTCTGTGTAACAGATCTGTGTGTGAATAAAATTTTTTGCTTTGTGTGTGGTGTTGCATGGTGGCATGTGTTTCAGGCAGTGTTATATTCTACCATGGCTTTGTCTTAATTCAACAAAGATAAGCCTCTCACTATAGATATATTTACTGATATATAATAATAATAGTGCCTAGGAAGGTGATGTTCTCAGCTGCTCCATCTATCACGATGATATCCAACATCACCTCCAATTTTTCTGAAATGCTGCTTGTGTTCTATGCTACAATTATTGGATTGTCAATTTTCAGGCGTAGGTTTTATCAGCTTTTTTAGGGTAAAAGTTTGGATGGTGCTACTGTCTGAACCTGGATGGTTTAAGCCTAGGTGCCTGAAAATATGATTCAGGTGTGAGTCAAGGATCTTTCCTTGATTGGGAATATGGAAAGTTCCCTCTTCACAGCAGGTGTTTCAGGAGAATTTAGCAATTGCATTAGATTGATACTTTATATGAACTGTGCAGAAAGGAATGAATCTCATTCTAAAGCCTGATTGTACTGGTACCAGATATTTTCAACTCTTGAGTGTCTGGAATGCTGGTCTTGCAGATCATCTTAAGGGTGACAGCCAGGATTCAGAATTTGCCTGGCAAAACCCATTTTTTCATTCCATTGGTAAAAAAAAAAAAATGAAAAAGGAAAATTGGAGAAAGTAGGAGAAGCTGACAAAATAGGAAAATTTATTTTAAATTGCTATTTAGGTAAGTATCTAATAAAATATTTCTGAAACACTTAATTTATTCTTACCAAATGATAACATGAATTCACATTACCAGATTGAGAAAGCAGTAAAAAAAAATATAAAAAAAGAAAAGAAAGTATAATTTTATCCTGATTTCTTTTCACCAACATTGGCGGTTTGGCCTCTTTTGAGAGGCACTAAAATCTGTAAAGTTCAAGGAGTACAGCTGGAAATACAATGTAATACAATCCAGGAAGAGCAACAGCAAGTTGTGGGGTAGGTTTATTAGAATTCAGACAGACTTTTAAATTTTTACATAGAGGGATCATATTGTAAGGTAGTGAGCATCCCAATCCACCACTACCTTAGGGAAAAACTCCTCAAATCAATGTTCTTTTGTGAAAGTGAAGTAAAGCCTAGCCCTGCATGCCTTGCTTTTCCTGTTGTGATTTTCAATCAAACATATCCTAGCATCAAGTAGCACTGGGCCATGCATTTTTAAAGAACAAATCTGGCATTTTTGCACCTACTCTCTAGGACCTTCCAGTCAAGTGCTTGCAATGCAGCATATCAAATTTTATATCCAAATTGTAATTATGGAGGATGAAGTGTGCAGTTCACATTTGCACTTCCTTTAGCTGTTTCTTTTCACCGATTTTGAAGGGGTCTTACATGTCAGCTGCATATTCCAGTGGAATGTTCACTCTCTGTTTTGATACTCAATGATTCTTTTCATTATTTAGAATAAAGCTCATCAATTCTATCTCCAAGAATAGGCCAGCTAAAATATGAACTTCAGTGGAAGAGAGGTTTAATATGAGGTGACTGATAAACAAAGTGCATGGACATGTCCTCCACTCCACCACCACCACAATCTACTGTTCCATTTTCATCATCCAACTAATTTTTAATTATTGCTCATGGCCTTGGAAGAAATTTCAAAGATGTCAGAATGTACATAGACAAATACATCTCTGCACAGTGAAAGTTTCATGAAAGAGCTTCAGTTGGAATATAGATAAAGTAGTTAAAAGTTATTTGGTTTTGATTTTTGCCATTCCTGCATGTAACTCAAGGATGGTCAGAGAGGAAGGTTGATTTCAATAGTCCCATCTCCTGGATTTCAGAGAACATACAATATATTCTAATTTAGAGGAGTAGAAAAATCAGCTAGTCTGTATTAATGAAACTCGTCTTAATGTGTGGCTTTGTAGAACAAAGAGTTGGTCTCTAATATGTGCAAGATACATCAGAAAAGTTGATTTTCAGAGGAGTGCAAATATCACCATGGTTGGAGTGGTCTCTCCAGGAGAAGGCTATCATAACTTCAAGGAAGAACTCACTTGTGACTAGTTTTAGGTAATATTTTCTGAGCTTTCTACTCTGATTGGTCCTAATCAGAAAGTTACTTTCCTATCGGATAAAGCTAGAACTCACTTGGAATGCCCGAGCATCTATGGTAATACTGAAATTCTTGCCATCAAACAGTCCCTTTCTCAATGTCATCAATACCAGTGCATATTTTCTAGGTTTAAAGCAGAAATTCAGAGATGCCTGAGTAGTGGACATTAATCCATTTGTGACATGGCTGTTGCTGCTGTTGCTCAAAGCATGAAATAGCACCAGCACAAGGTTTATATATTGATAGAAGTTGCAATGACAGCACTTCTGGTGTTCACTCAAAACTATTGTTATCAATGCTATATGCATAATTATGAAGTAATTAGCAAGTGTCTGCTATGAGAGCCCATAGTAGAATGATCCCAGAGCCCTGATGAGGAAATTTTCCCCTCTTTTAGCTTTTTCCTACTGTGTCAAAGTCTGTCACTTATATCTGTATTTGTTGCCGTCAATTATGGAAAGTTCAAAAGACATGCAAAGGGCATGAGAGCTTGTAGGGGGAATGAAAGAGAAAGAGGGCCATGCATAACTTTGCATCAAATGGGGCCTCAGATTCTGGGTGATTTTCCCTTACCTTGTTGTAGATACTTCACTTCTCAGGGTTTTTTTTATGGAATGGTGTACTATTAGACCCAAGTGACAGAGGCATACATGAAGAATCCTGTAGATATTGTTTCATCCCATCCCAATGAAATATATAACTCTTGAGTCTGGCAGTGAAAAATTCATGACTTCAAGGGTTCAACTATTCCTTTGCAGGTATTTCATCATGTTTTGTAATTTTGTAACCAAGACTTGAGGTTGCAGTATGGTAGCCTAATTCGATTGTCATCAAACACTTCAAGAGCTGCTCCTAGGTAGCAGTCACCCTCTTAATGGCATTTGATGTCTTATGGTCCCCTGTGCATCCAGAATTATTTGTCACATGGGGAACAGAGCTCCATTTGTATCAAGTTGTGGATTCCATTGCTGAGGAAAGGCCTGACAACAGTAAGTTAAGTTCTGGAACTGAAAAAAAGAAGCTTTTCTCATGTATTGTTTTTCTCTATGAATCAATGCTCTGCAGCCATTGTCCTGTCTGAAAGAACATGTGCATATCCTATTGCCTCCAATTCCGAACTGAGTTTTGTGAAGACATTGGCCTGGTTCCCAAGTATCCACAATAACAGGAATCCCTTGTTGGCTGTTGGTCAAGTCAATGGTCAAGTTATACTCACAACTGTTGGATCTCCATCAGACGATGCACGCAATCTAGTTGGCAGAGAACTTAGTGAGTCAATCATGTGTGGTTGTCATAGGCTAGATTTCTGATAACATGAAACTAAAGTCTTTTGTCCACTTATCTTTCCAGTGCCCAAGCATCCCAGGGTTTGTAACACTTTATCATGGAATCCTCTTGAGCATACAAACCTAGCAGCTGGTCTAGAAAAGCATCGAGCTGATTTTTCCATTATTGTATGGGATGTTGGCCACTTGTCATCATTTGTTTCAAAACCTGTTGAGGCTTTGAAACCTGTATTTGAGCAAGGCCTGTCTGAAGTTACCCATTCTTTGGCCTGGTTCCTTTCTCAACCAAAGGTTTTGGTAGCAGGAATGAACAATAAGCACTTGAAGATTTATGATTTACGGGGTAAGTGATCATAACAAGCAATCTTTTCAATTAGGACATTGAATACTTTCATCAGGATTTTTTTTGCAGATTGTGGTGGTATAAGCAGCCAAACTGCTCCAACTAAGGGTGTGTTTGGTGTCTGTATGGATCCCCATAACAGTCATCGACTGGCTTCTTACTTTGATAATCAAACTTATATTTGGGACCTCAGGAACTTTGAACGACCTGTTCATATAATCAATGAATGCAAGCCTGTGAATAAATTGGCCTGGTGTCCTACTCGGTGAGTCAGTATCTCAAAACATACAGCCATATTGAGTAGAATGAAGATGTCAAATTTCTTATATATTCCACTTTCAGAAGTGGCCTCCTGGCATGCATTCATAAAGATGGGATGGTACTGAGGCTATATGACATTCAGCAGGGACTGAGTGATGACTTGGATCCATCTGTTTTGGAGAGGACATTGTGTCCTCCTCTTTACTCTTCCAGTTCTATGTTCATGTCATTTTCATGGCACCCTGTAGATGAGAACCGGATGCTATTGCTGCAAAGTCTAGACAATCTCATAGATTACATAGCAAATGAGCGTTTTACTCTGAGTTGGTCTCCCTTGCTGGATGTTGGGTGGACACAGGGAAAGAAGCTCCTTCAGTTTGCATCTCCTTGTGATGAAGTAATCGATACCATTTGTGAAGATGTGTCATCTGTGATGCGTATTCGTGCTTTGCAAGGTTATGGATTGATGGTGAGTTTGATTGCACTGATTTAAGTAGTTCTCAAATATTTTTTAACAGGGGATGCATCTCCCTCCCAAATATAATACTTACTCCCTTGTTTGCATTCTCATCCTTGCTTAACAATCTGGATCCAAGATTTTAGATTGAGTTTTTTGCTGCCTGTGTAGAGGCCATAATCTTCCCAGTTTCAATTGTCAATCCTGTACTGCTTGATAATTTTTTCTCACTCAAGTTGCCTTGACAACAGAACCACTTGTAAGGGATAGGGGGAAGATGTCAATCAAAATTCTGTGTGTAAACTCTTCTGAGAAGTTCTGAGAAGTTCAATGAGGCATCAGATACCTGGACTTCTGAGTTCAGTCATCAGACACTGCATTTTGCCATGTGCTATATGCTACGTGGAGTCAAGAGATACTGACTTTTCTCCCACTTTTGCTTGAAGACCAAGATGGATGCAATGACCATCAGAACCAAAAATAAACATAAATGCATTTTGTTAGACATAATGGCACAAAGGCCTAAGAGGAGACATTAGACATTAATCCACAGTTTCCTCATTTTGCAGACAGAAGATCTGAGTGCCAATGGTAAATTAGTACCAACAGGTCCACTCCAGCAGGCCTGGCAATGGCTGGAGTCCAGCAGATGCTTGCAGAATGAGGCTCCAACTCGTCTTGTTATGGCCACAGGAGCCAACTATGCCCATATTGGTATCAGGTAATTTCTTTTCTTTCTTTATTTAACATCTTATATGCCCATATGAAAAGGTCACGTATGATCTGATATGATGACTGTGGTTCATATATTATGTATTTACATGATCATATATGGCATTGTAATATGAGTTTTACCATTACATTTATTCATCACATAGGGGTAAACAATGATGGATGCTGCAGTAATGTATGAAACTTGTGAAACAAATGTATGTAGATCATGTGAACCATCAGGCATTTGTTTTAAAAATAATTATTGCATATATGCTTTGCTTGACCTATGATTCATTCAGCCTTTGCAAATGCTAAGGTGTTTAAAAATATGTGTTTAATGTGTACTGGCTGCAATTGGAATTGTTGTAGTGGGATGATATTAATGTATTTGTATGTGGGTGCATATTTAGCACATGAAATCCTTGCAGTTTGTCATGAAATCAATTTCAGGGGTTTAGGGTGATTCTTTGGAGAACTTTTGAAATGTTAACATTATGATGGTCCTAATAATTGTGCTAAAGAAGTACCCAGAAGGAATTCATTAATAAATGTGGAACAGGAACTCTCAATGATGGTTTTTAAAAGACTCGAGGAAAATCTAATGAGATGAGATGAGATGATCCAGAAAAAGCCTCTCAATGTCCAAGGAAGAGAGTGGCTTTGCTGAAAATCTTTTAATTGTATTTTCCCTCTAGCCACTTCTCAATGGTGCTGTTCTTAAGGACTTGATTGCAAAGCTACATCTCAAAAGATACTTCAGCTATCTTGTTTTAGTTTAACACGACTTTGGTCAATTGGGATGCATGCAACAGACTGTTTTAGGTCCTGCATCAATCTAGTGCATGTGCAGTGAGATGATGCATACATCTCAGTAAATTGATGTCCTTGAAATCCTTAACCCTATAAGGACCATGACCATACATGTACAGTTTCCGACTTCACTTGTGAATTTTTCAGTATCTTCAAGGATTGATATGGTGTGTCATATTTGGAGGGTTTTTACTTGATGACATCACCTTCTTCCATGCTTCTATCTTTGATCAAAGATTATGAGTGACCTTTGGAAAGGGCCATAATGTACCCTCCCATATCTTGTTAAAAAAATTCAGTATATAAGGGTTGAACAAGGGAGCAAAATCGCTCTAAGCGACACCATCTTGGCATGGCTTTGCATTAAAATACCAAAGAATGATGCTATTAGCAAGTGGCAAGTAGAAAAGAAAGATAGCATATCAGTGAAACCCCTTTCTTTCCAATGCCATGAAAATTCTGCAAGTTTTCTCTGTATCCCTTATCCTATTATCTTGAAACTTTCCAGAATTTCTCTTGGCATCATTAGGGGTTCCTATTACACACCTCATGGATGACCTTTTAAGTGTTTGGAGTAATTTGTCAAATTCCTCCATCTTATGAACGTGTTTGGTAAGTTTTCTCTGAGGGTCATCCTCACCCTTGAAACTAGCACACTAGTATTTCATAGCACCTTATGACGAGTTCATTTAAAATATTTCATTGCTTAACTCCTTCTCAGTGTTGCATTTTCAATTGCAGCCAGTGTGTGTGGAATTATGTGCTGGACATGTATAGTTAAAGTTTATATGTGCAGTATATGTAGCTTCATATACCAAAATATGGTAGTTATATGCAGTCATATATACAGGGTGATCATGAAGTCCCAATCTATTTTATTGTTAAACTCAAAATTCTTTTTTTATTATAAAATGCATAATTTGTCAATAAGGAACTAAATAAAACTAATGATAGTAAATTAAAAATCAGTTATTAACATTTTTTTTTACTGAAGTTCCACATGACCACCTTCCAAATCGATTCATAACTGGAATTTATTCATTGTTTCCCCAAACATTCAGGATGTTCAGCATGTCAGGAGTTACAATGTTAACAGCAGCATAGATATGATCTCTTAAATCTTCAGCATTGAGAACCTTTGAGCTGTAAACTTTGACTTAATGTACCCCATACAAAAAAATCCAAGGTTATCCTGGTTGTCAGGTTATCCTGAAGCCAACATTCTGTTTGATCCTTGGCCAGTCCAATGGTTCGGGAACTTCTCATTAGATAATCTAGCACAATGTTTGTGAAATGAAATTTGGGATTCAAGATCCCCTGAGCTAACCCTCTTTGACTTTTTTGCATGGGGGTACATTGAGTCAAAGTTTACAGCACAAAGGTTCTCAATTTGTTGAAGATTTAAGAGATCATATCTGTGCTGCTGTTAACACCATAATCCCTGACATGTGGAACATCCTGAATATTCAGGGAAATGATGGATTAATTCCAGTTATGTATCGATTTGGAAGGTGATCATGTGGAACTTCAGTAATAAAAAAAAGTAATAACTGATTTTTAATTTACTATCACTAGTTTTATTTAGTTCCTTATTGACAATGTGAAGTTCACATTATGCATTTTTGTAAGAATTTTGAATTTAACAATAAAATAGATTGGGATTTTATGATCACCCTGTACATAGCGTGGACAATGTTGCAATTAAATAATCACCCAACACTGTTTGATCATAACTTTGGAAGGGACTGTCAGATGCAGCTGATACTTGATGGACATTTTGATGGGCCTATAAGGCTTTAGACCATGCTTGCCAGATGACAATGCATGTGGGGAGGGGGCACTGGTTGCATATGTCAAAGATAAACAAGGAAGAATGAACAGTAATGATGCAATTACATGAAATGCAACTTTTTCTTGGCTCCTTGGGACAGCAAATATTCATTATGATCTCCATCCATTTTCACTAGTACATGGAGCCTAGGCAAGACTTGGGTGACTTCTGCATGGATGTCTCTAGGATAGGAGTGGTGTGATCTCAATTCTTATGACATTCTTTAGGATTGGCAAATCATGAAAATCATGCAGAGCTCTGGTAACAGAGTTTCCATTTTGATACTAACACTGAATTAATGGAACATGTTGCAACATTCTGAGCTAAAACATGTTGCCTTATGCTGCCTTGAGTGATGCAAATACTAGACGCACTTTTCTAATTATACTGGTACTTCTACCATACTTCTTTGGATAAGCACCCTCAATCCCCCTATATATATGGACCACTATATTAGCAGGCATAGCAGAAAACCTAGTAATCCCATCACCTCTTTGTCTAATAACAGCTGCAACTGCTTTCCCCTACCAAGATGGTGACCAATCAACATCAGATGGTTTCTGTAAAACTTTCCTGTATATTTGCATATAACTGCCATCATTCATCTTTCTGTATGGGTGTAAGCAGTGTACAGGTGGTTTCAGTCTGCCAATACAAGTTGTTAAAGCTGGAAATAAATATATAATGAAACAAAACATCTTGTGACACTGCAGAACTTTTATCCCATACTTATGGTACTGAAGAATCTTGAACTTTGATGTTTTTTCTGAGCTACTCTCTCCCTTATATATTTTAATTTCTTTCCAAATTTTACAATGATTGCTATTTGTAGTTGAAATTTTGGTGTTGATTTTGTCAGGAAGAGACATCGATTCCATGTAACCCCTGTGCTTCCATTGATCCGCCATCCAGGGGTTAGGTAAGCAGATGGATGTTGCCGCATGTTGGCCTGCCGTAGCTCTACAGTGTGGCCAAAATGAGTTCAGTCTATTTCATTTGATTGCTGCATCAGCAAAATTTTAGACATGCTAATGCAATTTGGTGAATTAATAATACCATTCTTCTCAGATCATATGCTATATGATACACAGAAATGCAGCAAGTGGTTTTTACATGAGTTTTTATAGCATGAGGTAAAATACTGCAGTTACATGCTTATTATTACTTTTACTTGTTAGGATAAACATTCCAAATGTATTATTTTCCTTTTGCTGTCAGCCTAGCCCAACTCTGTTTGATTGCCCAAGAAACTGCTAGAAGGATGTTCATCTTTCCAAATTTGGCTAAAGTAACATGCACACAATTTTTATTTTTTGCCTCATGCTGCAAAAAGTATTAGTCATTCTTCCTTGAAGTAATTGCATTTAACTGGGAAGGACAGTACTACTTATCCATGCATGAGTATGCCTTAAGTATTGTGACTGTAGAAATAATTTGAAAAGGAGTTAGCTTTTTTTTTGGCCTACCCTGTAGATTCAATCTCTTCATTATTTCCTCATGAGACTTGAGATATAATTTTATTTTGCAATTTAGAAGTCATGTGAATGCCATGTTTTGAATGTGAATGTTCCTTGTCAATTGTGCTATAGTTGCTTGTAGTAATAGTTTTCAGTTGGATGAGAGTAAGCTTCCAAAATGTTGAGTACCAGTAGATCCTAATTCTTTTATGCAGTGTGTGCCTAGGTTATGAGTTTCTACAGTGTGCTCTTGAGAGTTTGCATAGTGCATTGTGCAGAATCCAACCTCCAAGTTTTGGCTTTCCATCATCCCTTTTTTTCAACTTAAAGTAGGAGTCTGTCATAAATAATAATATATTGACAAGGGGAATATAAATGCTAACTTGTTTTTTCTGTGCTGCACAGTCTTGCAGGTGATTAATTGATGTTTTCAGCTAAAGTTCCAAACCAGAGGTTTTTAGGCAGCTTTATGGATCTTGTCAGGACATTTGGATCCCCCTCCCCCAACTTAAACTACAAGTGAAATTCATGAAATTACCTGCTCTTCTGCAAGTCATAGAGACTAGGCTGTAGATAAACAGCAGCTGTGCTATTTGTGCTACCATAATAGATGGAAAGTTTCTTTTTTTTTTAAGTGAAAGATGCATTGTGAAGGATATGATTATTTTTAGTCATGGATCATGACATTGGAGCTATGTGCATGTGATATTATCAAGATGAAAACTGGACAGATGTGAATGTGCTTTTTAGTTTCAAGTCTAGAATATGTCCTGTGAAGTGTGATGAATTTGCATTGAATATTAGATTCCTTTTTTTGAGTTTGATTCTGAAAATATGGTAATGTGCTGAGCATGAAGAATGTTGCTAGAGATGATTTTTTTTTATTTAGAAGGTATAGCATGAGGTCAAGAAGTTAGTTCATTGGCATAAATTTGACGAAGACGGTGATGCTTGAAGCAATTTCATTTAAAGTATTTTTTTTTTAATGTTCAATTAAAGTTTTCACATTTGTGGAAGCACATTTCATGATGAAGATGCTTTGACTGGCACTTAGCTGGTCTCACAAGCTCTCTGAAATATGGAACACTGAAGTGAAGGGCAAACATAAAAAATCTTTTAAATTTGTCACCATCATTGGAGGATATAGAAAAATTGTCTTCCCAAGTGAAATCTAGCAGACTAGATATCAGTGAAGCTTTGATTTAAATGGCTTTCATACTTGCCCATTTGTTGGACCATTAACAAAATCTTTGTTTAGCCACAGCTTAAATGATTCAGAGTAAATATTTGGTGACAATGAATTATCCCATGCCATTCAGTTGGACTAGTCTGCATGACATTTGATTTTTGGTTTTCAAGATTATGCCAAAGCTACCAATGTTAAACCATTAGGCCATTCTTACTCATACATGCCATAACACCTTCAACTGGAGGAGAATAGCCTCCTCTCCTGCTGGGATGAGCAGAAGGTGGGAATTCATATCTGGAAAGTGATGCAAAATTAAATTAACTAACTCTTGCAAAATTGAATGAACTACCTTACTCAGAAATGAAACATTTCTCCAACAACATACCCAGGGGTTGCACTAAGATTCTTGCTTTGCCCTCCTGCCCATGCATCCTGGGGGTCCCTGGACCCCTGGGATGCACAGACAGAAGGTCTAAGACTGCTGGATTGAATATCATACTGCATGGTTATGTTAAGCTGATAAAATACACATGGATTGCTGGACTTTAGCTTTTGGGAAACTTTTCAAGCTTCTCTTGTGCTTCACTTGGAAAGTAACCCCCTTAATTACCAGGGGACCCTTCCATATCAGACCTGAGGGTCACTGGGGACCCCTACAGCAAGAAACCTAGTGCAACCCCTGATACCACTTGCTACTTGATTTTCTCACAATTATTTTTATCTGAGGGGTGTGCAATCCAGAAATAGGAGGAGACAGAAAAGATAGATGGACTGATTTTCATTCCCTATTCTTTTTCACATCCAAAAATAAATTCCTTTGGGGGTATTGCTCATCCTTTACTCACGTCAACCCTGGAGATTTTTCTTTTTTAATGCGAGGTACATAAAATCATGAGGATGGTAGACCTAGAAAGTGCCATTCAGAGTGTTTCATATCTGCTCATCGACTCAAATTTAAAAATTTAAACATTTTTTCATCAACTTTTGAGTCTTTTTTTTGTGAAGTGAAACTGTGAATTGTATTTCAGTTCTATCCTGTGTGGGGAAGCTGAAAATCACAAAGTTTTGCAGAAGTCAGAATTGGTACGTCTCCCTTGGTCTGGTTTGGAGCTAGGACCAAGAACTGTGTTGGCGCATGTTTACCAAACTGAACATCGAACCTATGCACTTAAGCTGTGTGGTTGGGGGTTTGACCGAGATGGGTCCTCTCTCAGCTTCTTCCTGGATAGGTGTGTTTCCCACTTGATATCACCTTTGAAGTCAAAGTTTGTTCTGTGAGTACTTAGTCTTTTGGTCTTTTGTGATGGTCAATTTAGGCTGGAGAGTGAGGGATCATACTCAAGAGCTGCAGCTATAGCTATTTTTCATCTTAAGGTGCGCCGTGCAATGCAAATACTGCAGAAGGGAGCAAGCATGGGGAATCCAATGCTTACCACTGTTGCCATGGCTCTGTCAGGATTCACAGATGACCGCAACACTCTTTGGCGGGAAACATGCATAAAGTTACGAGCTGAGCTTGGAGACCCCTACTTGTCTACAATGTTTGCTTTCCTCACTGCTGATGGTGATAATTATGACCATGTCTTGGTGAGCAGGCTTTTTCCTGATAGATCCTTTATGTAGATGGTGAAAAAAAAATTAAGCATTGGAATGTCTTGGTGCTCATTCTATTTGACAGAATGAAAAAGGCATTGCTGTGAAGGACAGAATAGCCTTTGCCCTGATCTTCTTGCCTGATGAACAATTGGTGGAGTTCTTAGCGAAGTTGACAGAGACTCTTATGTCTTCAGGAGACTTGAATGCATTCATCCTCACTGGTCTTACTCCCCAAGGCCTGGATCTCCTTCAAAGATACTTAGATCTCACTGGAGATGTTCAGTCTACTTGCCTCATTGCATTGCATGACTCCTTGACAAGGGATCCCAGGGTTCCTCAATGGATTGACAGGTAGGTAAGAGTTGCTGCCAGCAACACAATTCAGCGTCTTCTCACATCAATCAATTCATAATAACCACATGCATTTATTTAAGAAAATTACTACTAATGGCACTAAAGTAGCTTTTATGATTAAAGATCAGGAAGATGTGAGGAGAGTTGAAAAAGCTCTTGTTTATATAGAGAAATTGTAAGGAATGGCTATTGAGAACTGGGTTTGATGACAGAGTGGCTCTGGCTTCTGATACATTTCCAGAGGCAGTAGATTGAGTATGGGTGGTGGTGGACCCCCCACAGGTGACTCAGGTTTGTGAGGTGTCACACACGCCACCCTACATGGCACTTCTAGGAGATACAAGCACAATAGACCTTAAATATCACTCATGCCATTCACTTGGGCTTACACCAGCTATGCACAAACTTTTCTGGTTTTGCTCTCCCTTTTCATCTGAGCATTCAGTCATGCCCTCCTATCCCCCCTCCTTCCCCCCTCCACTGGTTCCATTTCATCAGAAACTGACTGTAATTTCAGGTAAGTTGGCATGAGATAGGAAGCACAAAAATATGGGTTTTGTAGTAAAACATTAACTTTGTCAAAATCTATTGAGAATAATGCCATACAACAAAACAAAGGCCAATTCAGAATTTCCTATATTTGTTGTGCTTTTCTTCATTTCTTCCCTTTTTATTCAATTTTGAACCCTAAAACTCCCTAATTCTGAGGAGAAAGGTAATGTAAAGGCCAAAGTTCACACCCCCCCCCACAGTATCCTTTGTGCTCTCCAGTTGCTGCACCACTGGTTTATACATCCCATTAGCTGCCCTTAAGGCCTCCATAGGTTCCTTAGCTGAGGGACTGTGATCTTGGTTGTGCTAAGTAGGCACTCCCTTCATCTCTCTGTGTTGTAATATGTTCCATTTTGTATGTTTCTGCTGCATGTCCTGTCTCAAAAAAATGTAAAGAGGGAGTGTTTAATGACTTTTAATAATTGTAAATGCAAGTTGCATCTTGTGATTAATAAATCTTAAACTTATGGCAATTGTATTGGCAACTAGAAATTAGGATTTGGCAAGTTGTGCAAGTTGCACTATCAATATGGAGGAACATGAAAAAATGAAAGTAATCACTGCAGATTCTCTATGCAGGTACAGTTAGGTATTCATTGAAGAATTATCAGCTTGTCCATCTTGCATGCTATTCCTCTTCTTTTTCCCTAACAACTCTGTCATATTGTAATTGAGAAGTGCAACACCTCCAGACACCTTGCCCTCTGGAAATTTCGCTAGTACAGTTGCATGGAAACTATGGAACATGGACTTCATGGGTTAACAACAGAAAAATCTACATTTTGGCAAAAATTCAGATATCTAAAAGGTAATTTTGCTCATATATAAAAATCATACAGGGGAGGGTGGGGCACCATGGGTCACTTTTTTTGTGGGCCTGCAACTTATGCATTTTTATTCCTCTGATGCAATGGAAGGCCCAGTGTATAAATCCTCAAAACACCTGCACAATCCAGTGTTTCAAATTTGTTAACATACAAATGTTGTGGTATAAAGTCATATTTTAAAATGGGGCAACATGGGGCACCATGGGTCAGTGTCTGGGGTACAATGGATCATCCCCATAATCATCACTAAAATGAACTTCATTTGACCCAAAGTAATTACACAAAGAAGTCTTCACACCCCAGGAGGAGAAGCTCTTGAACACTGATGCATTCCACCAGTTATCTAAAAAGATTAGGAACCTTTAATCAGAAAATAATAGTGTCTTTTCTCATCCAAGAATTTCACATCTGCTGGTGTTGAACCCTACAGAGTCTTCCACTTCTATTTGCACTTCATTAGATCAGAAAAAGACTGCACTGTAGAGGAAATCCAGATCTGTATTTGGGTGGGGACTACACTTTTTTCAACTACAATTTCCTCGTGCCTCAGTAGGAAGATGTGTAGCATATGACATGAAGAGAAACAGCTGGAAGAGCCATAAACAGCCTGACCCATGGTGCCCCACTCTCCCCTACTTAAATCAGGTATATGATCATATATGCAGGAGTCCATTCCTCAAACGGAATGATTCTTGTGTATGGAATATATGTTACCCAGATAAGCTTAATGCATGAGTAAGCCTCACATGAGTTGTATCATTAAACTATATGTGCTTTCACATGTGTAGTTTCATATATCAATATGTGGAGAATAAAAACATATTTGGCATAGATAACTGCATATAGCTGCCATATAAGATCTTTCTGTAGGGAATTTATCCCATTGAAAGATGGACTTTAACACAGGATTGCAGCAGGTCTTTTAAAAGTGAAAATCCTTAGAAGAGAGGCAAGGTCTCTGAAAATCTTGAGGAATATTCCCAATTTGATATAGTAGGTAATGTACTCCTTCTCCTAGCTATCGCTATCTGCTGGACAGCTGGGGCCTATGGAATGAGAGATGTCTCTTTGATGTTCATGTTGTGAAATTGGATCAATCACTCTTGCCTTCACCTCAGGTAGGTCTTCCACATAGATGTGTGGCCCAGAATAACAAGAGCATGAAATCTTGCTTAAGAAGATTTAGGTAGAAGGTGAGGGAAAGAATAAGGGTTTCTTTTAATTCCTAGGTATATGTGTCATGTAGCTTCTGTGGAAAGGGAATCTCATCCAATGCTAGCCTAGGAATTCCCCTCAGTGACTCAGGAATGATGCGAATGGTTCCCTCATCACATTCATTGGACAAGCTCAAGGTATGCTGATTCAGGATTTTGGTGCAAGAATATATATCTATAAAATAGTGAACATCATAAGTGCATGTTTTTTCAGGGTCCGTTCTGTCCATCCTGCTGGAAACCCCTCCCAAGATGTGCTCTCTGCCTGGTTCCTATGGGAACAACATTAGAGACTCCTCTTTTGCTGGGATTGAGTGAAAAAAAGAATTCTGCAATAGCTATGTGGTTCACATGGTGTCAGAGTTGTCGCCATGGAGGCCATGCTATGCACATGGAGCAATGGTTCAAGTATGTTTCAAAATTACGTCCATTGAAATATACATTGAAGTTCCAGTAGAGTAGGAAGTTACTTTTTTTTCCCTTCCCATTTTTTTTTCTTTCCATAGGGAACGGCAGGATTGCCCTGTTGCTGGTTGCCAATGTCGCTGTGAACTTCATGACTTCATTTACAAGTCCAATGTCTCTGATCGTTTGCCTCTATGAGAAAGGGATCTTCTGTAGTTTCCCTGGAATTTGCCTAGAGAACTATCCATGGAAAAGAAGTGTCCCTAACTTCTTCATAGCTTTCTTTTACAAAGCTCTGTGATCTCACTTAAACTTTTGAAGGAATGTGTTGCATTGCTGCCCCTCATGCATTATCTGTGTCAACAGACCTGTCTTGTGCATGATGGCATTTAATGGCATTATGATACTATCAGGAAATGGCATTATCATACAGTCGCAAAAAGGAAAAGAAATACTTGACTCATGTTTGAATGCAAAAAAATATGATTCTTTCACCAGAAACAAAGGAGCGCAAAAAAGATGCTTCTCTCTGAGGCATGGCATTAATTACCTGATTGCCTGATTAAAGAGATTTTGCTCTACTTTGCCAAAGTCCTCTACCTATTACTCTTTGTTTTATCATTTTTATTTTCAAGCTCTAGTGTTCACCTATCATTGTCATGTTGCATAATTTATTCTTAGTTTCCCTCATGTTAATTTTTTAAACCACTCTGTCAATCCAAGCAGTCCTTCATCCAGGATGCATGCAGTAAGATTCCACTTAATATCATTCTAGAATATTACTGTCATTGCTGAAGTCATTGTTACTCCTTTATGAATAAAACTTTTCCATGAACTTTAAAATAGAAGTAGTGTTACATTCTTTGTTGGTAGCTTTAATTCTATTTTGTAAATTTGCAGAAGCCTTTATTTCTCAGTGTATTACCATGTCATGCTGTGAAACTGTGCTAGGGAAAAACCTTATCCATATAAAATTTTAAATGTATTCTTGGTATTTTTCAATGGTCTCTTGATTATTGGAACCTACATTTTTTCTGGCACTCATTGTGCAGCTCCATGGGGTTCCTTGGTTTCCATATGTTGAAAGGGAAGTTAGTTCTTGACTTGACTGATTATTGCATGTGGAGGCCTTCCCATGGCTTATTGCACATCCATGCATCTCCACCTCCGATGCCTTGTGCAGCTGTAGCCAAGTGGGGCTGAAATAGAGGTGATGGTGTGTTTTGGGTGTGCTTGTTATCCTAAAGTGACTTTTGTCATGAGTGTTTAGTCTCTGACAGGAAGAGTATAGGAGCCATAATCAACATGGGAGTTCAGAGGCTCCTTCGACTTGTGCCAACATCACATTGTCGCATGTATTCGTCCTTGCTGGATTCACCACTGACATTCCAAGTGTCCTCAAAGTACAAATGTCGGACAGCCCTAGTTGACAGGAATGGATCTTACTCATATGGTCAGCTTGAAGAAATGAGTGATGCACTAGCCATGAAATTATTAACTAGTGTCTGCCATCAGGATGCAAAGGGAAGGCCCTCTCGTATTGCTTTCTTGCTTCCCCATGACTTCTCCTACCTTGTGACTCTTTGGGCATCTTGGAAAAGTGGCTTGATAAGTGAGTCTCATGACTGATAGCTGCACCTTTTACCTTGATCCATAGCTTACTAACTCTCTCTTCAGGTGTACCATTGAGTTTGAGCCATCCGTCATCCTTGCTTGAGTACTTCATCCGGGACTCAGCTGCCTCTTTGATTATCTCAAGTCAAGACTTGTTAGATAAAGTGGAATGCTTGCAAGACATACCAAAGCTTCCCTTTGACTCACTGCAGTTTCCCAAACTTCTGAAATCTGAGTCAGAAATGAAGAATACAAGCATAGTGGTAGAATCTCCAGCTATAATGATCTACACCAGTGGAACCACTGGACCCCCAAAAGGTGAGAACATACTACTTGTTCTGATAGAATAATTTAAGAGAACAGTTTGATACAGCTGGAGTCATTCTTCTCCCTCTCCTCTTTATCACCAGGAGCTTTGTTGTCCCATGAGAACATAATGGCAAATATCAGGGCATTGGTTGAAGCATGGGAGTGGAAAGAATCTGATGTGATCCTACACACTCTTCCCTTGCACCATCTACATGGCATTTTTAATGCCCTTCTCTGTCCACTGCATGTTGGAGCCAAGTATGTCAATACCTATTGTCCCTGTCTCAGTGCTAAAGGTTTTTGATATCCCTGATTAATAAGACTAAAGAATTCAAATAATTTAAAATACCCTTTCTAAAAAATATTGCTCATGAGTGTCCATAAAAAATTGAAAAGACTATTGACATTCCTATTCTAGGGACAAAACAAGTTCATTTCATGCTGAAATAATGAAGGCTGATTTTACCCCAACTTGGAATTTGATTTTAAGTGGCATCAGTAGTCTATATGCAGCAGTGGTACTCAAACTGTGACTTGGAAGCTGCATGCTGCTAAGACCTCATATGTGGCCAGTGTAGAAAAAACACTTTCCAGTAAAGTGTTTTTTTTTTTTAATTACTATTGGTGAGTCTTATTTCCAGTGTAACCCACACAAGATTAGTCACTTCCAGATGCAACCTCTGGCTTAAAATGTTTGAGTAGCACTGATATACAGGGTACCATGAAGTCTTAGCCCTCTCTGTCAGAACTGTGCAATGGTGAAGTAAAGTAGGTTTTATTTCTGAACTAATTTTCTGATTCTACATTTACTGGCTAAATCTCAGTATTGTGTGAGCCAACCACCAACCTAGATGACAGCTTGAAGGCAAGATAGGCAACAAATTTATTCAGAAGTTGGTGTCAAACTCAAAATTTAAGAGAACTGTTGCAGTATGTTCCAAAAAGTGTCCATGGGAAAACTGCTGCTCGTAAGCCCATAGACCAACAGATCTTCTGCACTACAACTTCATTCTACATTGAACCTGTGTTTTCATGGACTCTGAGCTCAGAATTCTGTGGAAATTCTGTGTAGTCAAAGAAATCAATGCTGATGTTTTTGGAAGCTGCTTAGTGGTGAGGGCTTTGAAATATGGGTACTTGCCTTGAAGAACCACTTGGCAAGTGTCCAAGACATTCTCAGGCTCCTGCAGAAAGAGGATGTCATCAATGAAAATAACACCCCAGATATATTGACTGTATGAAACTTGTTCACAACAAGGACCTTTTTATCTTTCAGCCATCATCAAGACTGGTGGTAGACATGCACACTCCTAAGATTTATCCATTAAATGTATAATTTAATACTTAATTCAGAAATTAAATATGTTTTTGTTTCACCATCACACAGTTCTATGTCAGAAGGGGAAGGAGTAAGGTTTCATGGCACCTTGTACTTACCAGCCCAAACTTACTAGCCCAAAAATTTGCAATTTATGTGTAGGCAACATTTAAGGGGAAATACTGTCTAGAAATCAGAACATGAATGAGTTGAATCTTCTCTCAACACTGGACATATTCATATGGGAATCCACATTATTTGTGATAATGCATTAATTTTGTCACACTGGGATGATGAATGGTGGAACATTTTCAAGTGTGATATGGCAGCAGTTCTCAACCTCAACTGTGATTCAGGTGCAAGATGCTTTCTCACTTTGATGCCCAGCAAGTGTGGGAGGAACTTCTGGCTGGGGAGGTGACTTTATTCATGGGAGTACCCACCATGTATTCCAAGCTGATAAAATTTTATCAAGAGCACATTGCTTCCTCAAGGGAGAAGAGAAGAGTTGTACGAGATGCATGTCAAAAGAACATCAGGTAATTTCTCCTGCTGGAGTTATCCTACTGAATCTTGGTAGTATAAGTGGATGAATAAACTGTTTCTCAAAATACAGGTTATTTGTGAGTGGTTCTGCAGCTCTGCCTCAGCCAATATTTGACATATGGGAAGCCATTACTGGGCACAAGATTTTGGAGCGGTATGGAATGACAGAGATAGGCATGGCATTGTCCAATCCACTCCATGGTAAACGTGTCCCAGGTAAGCTTAGATTGAGTGATGAAAATCACATCTCTGAACAGGATCACCCAAAATACACCTGTGCACCAACCAAGACCATCTCAGGATTAGGATTTGCCAGTAATCATTGAAAAAATACTTTTCATGAAGTCCTATAATGAGAAATTTTGAGATGTGCTGTTCTCTTGGAATTTTTTCTGGGGTAAGTTAGTATCAGCTGGTGCACATAGCCCAGACCATGAAATGAGAGGGATTCATTCATTAGCTTCACAGTGATGAAATATAGGGTCTTTCAAAAGTTGCACAACCCTATATATTGGATCTAAGCGAAAGTTCTGTTGGCTTTTTGAGGGTCGATTATTTCTGTTTTCCATATGTGAACCAAGCTGCACACACTTGTAAAAACTGGTATTATTTTTGGGTTAGGGTTACAGAGTACATTTCACATGAATTTAGTTTAACTGTTCAGTCCAAAATGAACTACTATGCGTTCAATATGTCTGTGGATAAAGTTCATTTGAGACACTGTGTTTTATGAGTTCCAAAAAGGAAACAACACAACAACCATGATAAAAGTTTATGTGAAGTGTTTGGAGAGGATGCTATTACTGATCACACATGACAAAGATGGTTTACCAGATTCTGTTCTGGTAACTTCAGTTTGGAGGATAAACCACAGTCTGGACACCCCTCTGATGTTGATAAATTGCAGGCCTTCATTAAGGCAGATCCTCACCAAAAATCTACAGAAATTGGTGAGAAACCTGGAATTCACCAGACAAATGCCCTAAAACATATTCATTGGCTTGGTTTTTTCTCTCAAGCAGCACACTGGGTACCACATGATTTTTCCCAAAAAAACTTGCTCAATAGGGTCACCATATGTGTCATGCATCATGCCCATCAGCTTCCAGAGCCTTTTTTGGATTGATTGAAAATGAAAAGTGGATTCTGTATTATAACATATAACAAAGAAGGCAATATTGTGAAGCAGGATAATCTCCAATTCCTACTCCAAAGCTTAAGCTTCACCAAAGCAATGTTATGCTCTGCTGCTGGTGGGATTGTAAGGGAGTTGTCTACTATGAGCTACTGAGATCCAATGAAACTGTTAATGCTGACCAATACCGCGAACAACTTGAAAATCTCAACTCAACTCTCGCTATAAAGCGAGAGAATCATCAGGTAGTTTTACTTCAAAAACCAACAGAACTTTCACTTAGACCCAATATAAACAAGAGCTGTTATATATTTAGCTGCAATATATATACATCAGCTATTGTAAAATGTACTATTGGTCATGTGTTTTTCACAGAAAGTGTAAATGCTTAATGTTATCAGCACGTCATTCAGCAGTTTATTGCCATGATCAAGATTGTCAAATGTAACTCGTGGTTTCAACAAGACAGAGCAACCACTCATACTGCTCATAAGTTGGAATGTCTGGCCACCATGGTCTCCAAACTTATTGTCACCTGACTACTTTTGAAGATACCTTAACCCTTCTCTGGGCAAGGGGGATCCATTAGACCCCAAGGTCTCAATTTTTATAAGAAGCATTCAAACTATTGCATACATTTTCCTGCAATTTTCAGTATTTGTCCTTAAAGTTGAGGAGCCCCTGACACCAGAAAATTACCAACCTGAAATGTTATTAAAGGTATACTTAAAAATAATTTTGATTGGAGTAATGTAACCGGGCAAAGGGGGTCCATTGAACCACTTCTACTTTCCATGTACACACACAACATTTTACTCCCTGATTCCCCCATATTTCACAGCATTTCACCTGATGTTTGTCTGAAGAGCCTTCTGACAACTAGTGTAAGAGAGAAAAAGGGAGAAAAGAGGGGAATCCTAGATTTTATCTTAAGCTCATGGGAGAGGACTCCTCAGCAACCAGGATTTTGAGAAGAGAAGAGTTGCCAAGGTTAAATTCAGGTAATCCCAGGAGAATTTTGCCAATAGCATATTTGCGATTGCCTCTTTTTTTTATTATCCTTGTGGGACGTGTTGGAACTACATTATTCCCCATATGATTCAGTATAGCATAGGCATGATGTCAAGTCAGTCTTGCCCAGTATTAGTGGTTCAGCTCCATCTGAAAAATGTTCTTCATGTTGTGTTGTGGATTGTTTCCTTTCACTTTATGGTGAGCTTATCTCTTTGTCTATGGACTTTTGATTATGAAGCTAGAAAAAGGCTAATGCAACAAAAATGCATTCAGAATTCTGAGATTAATAATCAGACCAATTCGTAGGCATATATACCTCAGAAATAAATTTTTGCGACAATATCATATGCTGTGACTTTCTTGCAAGTCAAGCTTTTATTCTTGGTCTTGGACTATATCAACCTATGTTATTCATAACATCAGGCTTAATGTTGCTCCAATCATATGAGGTGAAAATTACAACATGTGTAAAAGGAGGAGATAAATCGGATGTAAAAGGTACCTTGAAGGTAACAAATTGTGAATTACAGGTGGAAGGTAAATGTAAATGCAGGTAAGACACAGGAAAAAAAAAAACAAAAACAAAAACACGGGTGAAAAAAAGGAACCATGAAATAGAGGTAAATTACAGGTAAGAAGGTGGTAAAATATCACAGTGAAATTCAGTAGCAGTGGAGTCCAGACAATGAAACTGTTTTTGAAAAAGCATAAAATTCCCCCTTTTTATACCTTAGCTTCATATCCAAATTTTGCTTGAAGTAAAAAAAAAATTACTTGGGATGCAAAATAATGTTGCATTGCTTTTGAAATTCATCAGAATCAATAAAGGAAAGATGTTTCTTAATGATAAATGTGTTTTTATCTCCTGTTTTCCCACACTATATAATTAAAGTAATAGGGAGTCCAATGGACCCCCCTGGCCTGGTCATGTTTGTCTTTTACCTTGCCAGGATAAGGGTTAAAGAAAGAGTATATGCTAACAATCTTAGAGCCTTAGAAACATTGAAGCAAAAAATTGCACAAGCTATTGATGGCATTACTTGTGTGACCTTACATCATGTTTCTGCAAACACTTGCAAATGTATCACAATGTACTTCCAGGAACATAGTGGTCCCTTCCAACACCTACTATCACACTTTTATTCATTGGTGAGATGTGTTCCTTCAATTTTAAGCCAGTTTTGATTATTTACTCAATTTAACTTATTCAAGAAAATTTTGGACATAATGGATTGCATGACTATTGAAAGACCCTCTCCTTCTTTTATTTGTTTTTCATATACATTTTTTCAGGTAGTGTGGGAATGCCTTTGGCAGGTGTGGAGGTCCTGATGTCTACAGAACAAGAACTACTTGTAAAAGGACCAGCAGTGTTTCAGGGATATTGGGACAAGCCAGAGGCAACTGCTTCAGCATTTACTCCTGATGGATGGTTTAAAACAGGTATGAATGAAAGGTATTTTTTAATAAACAAGGTCATCTTCAAGTGGGTCAGGAAAATCCTATTTTGCTCATGGAAGGGGATGTGACCAAGGTTGAAGAAGGGCGGTACTTCATTCTTGGTCGATCATCTGTGGACATCATCAAGAGTGGAGGCTATAAAATAAGTGCATTGGATATTGAGAGGCATCTTCTCTCTCACAACCACATCTTGGACTGTGCAGTCTTTGGTCTTCCAGATGAGTTATGGGGAGAACGGGTCAGTGACAACTGCATGCAGTGAAATAAGTAGAGTGTGTAAATGAATTGACAAGAATGATGGAGTCTAAAGTGATCTGATGCCATAATGGAGTTCTATGAAAATGACCTCATCTTAAAAAAAAAAGTATTCCCTATGTGAATATCAGGGTTTCATAATGAAATGGAAATGAAATGAGAAACAAAATAGAAATTATGTCTAATGCTGTAATGAAACAGACCCATGAAGAGAATTGTGAAATAAATAAATAAAACTTTGATAACATCATTAATAATATGCAATTGTGTTTTCATAATCCAGCAGATGTATTAAATATAAAGTCATATATCACAACTCAGAACCATCTTCACTCATTTTGTTGAAGAAAGTGCTGAAATGACCACTCTCAATTATATACTCCATCCAAAAATCATTATGACTGTTGCTGGCAGCTGGAATCATGCACCCTTGGGAGAGTCTAAATGAATCATCCAGAGGCCCCCCTCCCCCTCAAAGTCCTGCCTTAAATGCCTCTAAACAACCAGATAGTGCCTCCCTGCTATCATCAGTGAAGCTTCATTGGGTCTTTGGATTCAGTAGCTTATTGTAAAATCAAGTAACAGAGATCTATTCATGTGTTCTGAGTTGGGTTTGCAATCTTTCCAGAAGACTCAAAAAAAAATTAAGCACAACTGGCAACTTCCTTGTAAACAAATATTAGCAGTATGTAACAAGTATGAAATTGAAGGAATAGGAATAGAAGCACAAATAAAAGAATAAAACAAAATCTATTTCATTACCCAACTCTGGTGAACACATTATGAAATCTGATCCTTTTTTCTCTGTTTCCCTCTTTCTGTCACCCATGATCTGACAGAAACTTCCCTTCCGTTTCTTTAGGTTGCTGCTTTGGTGGTAGCATCAGATGAGCTATTGGATGAAGAAAACCTACAATCCTGGTTGAGAGACAAGTTGCCTGGATATGCCATCCCAAAGGAAATCCAATTTGTCAATGAAATCCCTCGCAATCTCATGGGGAAGGTCAACAAGAAAAATCTGCAGCAACAATATGGAAAAACAAAATATAGATTCTAAGGCATGCCTTGATTTTTACTCTTTCAAGTCCAACTCTAAAGGATCATGCAGATGGTTTCAGCTGATTAATTAATCATTTAAATAAGATTTTCTGGATTAGCAATAGGGGCAACAAACAATTACATACTGAATGCTATGTTCTTCAGATTTTTTAAAATACTTGTTGGTTAGCATCACATTTGCTTGTTTCATTGTAGATGTTTCATTTTGTATTATTTTACAGGATTAATGGAGGAAGTCTTTGAAGAAAGTACCTTCCTTAATTGAGTTGTGATTGAATCCGTTCAGTGTAACTGCTCTTGGCTGGAGGCCATCCATGTCAATAGGATAAATCTGCTAAAGCTAACTTACTGCAATGACTTAAGAGATGTTTCACAGATTACTTTGGTATTTTTGACTGGTTGACAAGGACAATATAGTGATAGCATTGTCACAATCCAGACTTACCATTGAAGTGCATGTTATTGATGTTCAGAGTGATTTCAGCCTAATAAACCTGTCTAAGTTTTGACCTCTGCAATTGAAGTTTTGCTTTCAACAATGAATGAATACAAACCAAATTGGCATGAATCAAGCCCAAACTCAATTAATATGGGTTCGCCCCACCTTTAACTCGTTCTACATCAATCTCTACCTCTGCCCATTCCATAAAGGCTTAAAGAGAGCTGTTAACTGGCTGAACTTAGAATCTCAGCCAATATGAAACTGAGTCTGACTAGTTGGTAGCCAGTGAGACCTTCTAAATCTAAGAATATTCCTTCAGATCAGATGACTGAATATACTGGATGGCTCGTTTCTTCAACAAGAACAACTTTCCAAAGAAAATTCCCCCAAGCTCACCTATATAAAGGGCATCTCATGTATAACATCATTTTCATATCTGACCAGATTAAAGGATGAACATGAAAAACCTTTATTTGCACCTTAATGGAATTAATCTCGGGTGGAAGTTATATATGAGACTCTCCCTATTGTAAAATTTTTAATGAGAAAACTGACTCTCTTAGCATACAGAATGAAGTTGGTAGAATCAAAAGTTGTGCCAAGGTCAGATGTGCCAAGGACGTTGCTGATATCAGGTGAACATGTTGGAATTCTCTACAGCAGTGGTCCCCAAACTTTTTTAGGCGAAGGCCGCGTGGACACTTTGGTCCACTTTGAGTGGGCCGCACTAGTAACGTTAGTCAACCTGTAGTGGGCCGCATTGAAAAAGATACAACATTTCTGCATGGTTAACCCTTTATTGATCTCGTTGTCAAGCTACTCTAAACCGAGAAGTCCCATTTAAAAAAAAAAATGAGCAGCAATCGAAAACTGCTAATTCCTACCACATCCACGCACACTTCACCTCTCTTAATAACGAAAACTGCTACTACTTGGAGTCGGGACTCATGTAAACACGTCAATTCAAGGTGCTGCTTTGTTACGAGTTGTATTTTCGATAAATACTTCTTTATTTTGCCCTAACTTCATTCACTCGCGAGGAAATACATTTTTTCTCTGCAGTATATCGAGGTTCCGAATGTTAGGCATTTAGTAGGTGCACACCAAAATACATAAGCAGCTAAATGTAAACAGGTATTATATGTACCTAAATCTCTAAGCAACGACTAAATTTGCTAGTTTTCAGCGAAGGATTCAAAATCTTGAAATGAAAATATTTTTAATTGTTATTATTCATCAGTGCCGATAAAACGGTTATGTGTGAAAAAGTCAATTATTAGTAAGTCATAGTGGGCCGCATAAAATCATGAAGTGGGTTGCACTTTGCTCTGCAGGGAATGTGACGTTCCCACTACAATGAGATTTCTTTGAGACCAGCAGGAAAAAAATTTTGCGTGAAGCTTGGAAACTTTTCGTATTGAATATCATTCGAGAAAATTAATAGTTCCAAGTGAATCAACTTTCTACAATGACCTAGACCAGCTGGCTTCATAGGCACTGAACTCACGGGCAAAAGGGCGCGCCCTTCAAGAATGGTCAAAGTAAACCATAAGTTATAAACCACTTTGCATTTGAGAAACTAAATGCTGTTTTATTAAAGAAATGGTGCAAATCATTTTTCTACCTGTTTAATGCTCCAACTGGGGATGTCCCCAGCAATGGCAGATACAGAAATTTTTCATAGGGGAGCAGTTCCCTAGTTCCCCCCCCTTACCCCAACCACCACTCTCCGTCTCCATCCTATTGTCTTTTTCACTTTTCGTCTGGGGTATAAACTTGGATATCTATTTCACAGGTGCCAATAAAAATTAATGTAGGTGCTTTATAAAAAAAAAAATAGAATGTAACCCCCCCCCTGGATCCGCCACTGGTCCCCAGTACTGTGTAGGTCGATGGGGTGGAAGGGCGAGAACGCAGGGGTTCAAGTTTGTCAGGGGGGAATGTGGACAGTGGTAAGAACCCATTGGTGGGTGAGGGTGCATAAGGTTATGTCGTATCCTGATTGTCCAACGTCCTGTGTCAGGTCTGATCATAAGAAGTAGAACATTTGCACTGCAATATCTGCTTTATTTAACTTAATCACAAAAGTGCCATATTCAAAGGGGAGAGGGAACTCTCGGGCCCCCTTGTCCTTCAGTAACCACCTAGGGCCTGTGTTAAGGGGTGGGCGAATAGGCGACCGTTATTGTTGGGGGCACCAAACATCGAAATCCTCATCGAGCCGCAGTTGAGCAATTTAGTAACAATAAGTTAGCATTTCCTTGTCCCAGATCCCAGGTAACACATAACATTGAATCAACATTGATTGGATGTGGATTGAGTGTGCGAATGTTGGTTGAAGGTGAACATTGTTTCAATGTTGATAGAATGTTGTCATCATAATGTGAATTCCAATTTGGGTATATTCGGGTTACATTTCTCAGATGTGGCATCATTGTTAATCCTTCTTAAAATGATGAAAAGTTGGACCTCTCCTGTAGGCTTTCGGAGTGCCATTAACCTAACATGGCTTCAATGTTGAAAAAATGTAACTCCTCAACTTTTGAGTTGCATGTCAATTTTATATGTTGAATTTTTTTTTTAGTTCGGAAACGAATATATGGACCATTTCCAATTATCCTAAGGTCACCCCCAAGTGGTCTTGCATCCTTTTATAGACGATGTTGATTCAACGTTGAAACAATGTTTCTGTATCCTGTAGACCATTCATATATTACAAGCAACATTGGCTATTTAAATACATTTATTAGATAATTAGAATATTTAAAAACATTGATTGAATGTGGATTGAGAGTGCAAATTATGAGGATTGCATATGAACATTGAATAAATGTTTCAATGTTCTGTGTTACCAGGGTAGTGTAGCATAGGCGAGATCATAATGATGTATGAAGATCCCTAACTAAATGGTATCCATGTTCCCCTGTAGCCTCCTATTTATTACGGATTACGGATTACGGATCTGTCATTCTGCATTAAAGCATTTTCTTACCCCTTCTTTTTATTATCTAATTAATGAACATATATTGGGTGGGTAAAAAAAAAACAAATCTGTCATTTTTGGTGAGTCATCAATCGCATTGTAGACTGCCGACTCTGATTAAATTTGGTAGACACTTAGGAGGGCTCAATTGGGGTTTGTTTGCCGAGTTTCAAATCAAAATGTCAAAACTGTGAGATTGGCATTTAATTTACTTTTCCTTAAAAAAAAAGTGAGTTAAACTTACTTTTTCTTACAACTGACAAAACAAACAAGCAAACAGAACAAAAATAAAATGCACGAATGTCAAAAAACGAAAGCACAAAAATTGGTTTAGGTAGGTTCATTTCAACTGAAAAGGTTTTCAATGTGCCCTCCATTCTGTTAAACACAAGCCTCTAGTCTGGGACGCCACAGATCAATGGCTCGGTCAATAAATTTGAGGCAGGGCTTCCCAATCTTCCTCTAGAGCATCATACAAGGATGGAAGGTCATTAATTCCGTCCTACCGTTCATCCCGGCCTCAAGTTCATGTCGATATTTTCGATTGCACATTTTGTAGTGGGTCATCAAAAAATAATTTCAGCTTCTATAATTTTTGAGCCAGATGGCTAAAATTCGGCATAAAATCTCCAATTGAGTCACCCTATGGGCCTACCAAATTTAATCAGAATCGGCAGCCTACAAAGAGATTGACTACTCACCAAAAATGGCAGCTTTTTTGGCCCACCCTGTATATTAGAGAAATGTGGAATTATGATGTTCTAACTGCAGCATCTGATTCTGAAATAAATTAATGTCCAGGTTTAGTATGGGCATATAGAAGTCTACGTGATTAAAGACATGTAGATGTCATGTGGAGTGATCAATTAACGAATCATAGAAATGGGAAGCTGAAGGAATTAATTCTCATTCTGCAAACCACACTGGTGTTCCAGTTCCGTTTGCAGAACCAAAGTGGACACATCCTCTCAACCTTTTCAGTGCTCCACCCTCCGGGTACTGACCTATAGAAACTGAAGAGGATGTACCCTCCTTGATTTGCATAGTTCATTACCCAAATGTCAGGTGATTCATAATGTTGAATTTACCTCTACTTTGCTCCATAAAGAAACGCAATTACCAGAGATTCATAGAGGAATGTTGAATGAATGTAGATGCAATGTGGAAGTGATTTTGAATGAGTGTTACCATCAATATCGTTTCAACTGTGACAAGGAATCTTGAAACAATGTCATTTTCCTCAATGACATCTTCACATTGAATCAATGTGGTATTTCAATGTTGTTTCAACATTAAAAATGTGGACGTGAAACATAGTTTCAATGTTGTTTTCACATGGATCCTGGGATTATTCTGCATTGAGTCAACATTGTTGCATAGTATGAAGTTCCTGTCTTGGATTTTTTCACTCATCTGATTTAAGAATGTTTTCATTTAGGGGAATGAACATTTTTTCAGTATAAAACAGGACGATAAGGTTAGGTATTAAGTTAAGCGATGGAATTTAAAAAAGGATTTATTATCTTCTGCAGTTTTACTCGCCTTAATGAAAACAACAACTATGCCATCAGAACATTAAAAAAGTAGCTGGTGTCATTCTTCGAAAAATGAATCCTGAATGGTTTCTTTCCGTGCGATTTTTTAAATTTAGCATCAGTTTCATTCCGACACTTGTTCAAATGATTCCGATGTTCACGTGTGACACCGCGCATGGATTTGAGGAAATTAGGAAAAGAGTCACTTGATGGAACGCGCGCTGTGGGATTGATGTTGGTCCAATCGGTCGAAGACCCAGCGCGACGAAACTGCATTGTCAGTGGACACACATCTTTCCGAGTGCCTCGCCTGTCTCCTCACATTTTATACTCCCCATTCACATGAGAGATCTTAATGGCCGTTCCATTCATCAATCCTCATGATTCATTGTTCCAATCGTTCAGATGACACTTCAATTCCTCGTTTAAGATGTTTCAATTCAAAATAGTTCCCGGGTGACCATAACCAATCCATACCGGCAGATCCATCAGAGAACAGTTCTGTTCTTCGCCGTTCCTCAGGTCCACCCAAGCAGCATGTTTACATAAACATGATATCAATTTTTTGCAAACAATGTAAATTTCTTGCGATTGCCATGAAAATGACATCATGTTTACGTAAAATTTACGTTCCTATATTTACGTCACCAAAGTTTCTGTGTATTTTACGTAAACTAGACGTCATTCCATCTGACGTGAAGTACATGATATCAAGTTTATGCAAAGTTAACATCACACTTTCCATATGAAACTTTAGCTGACCATCCCCACAATTGCAATACCAAGATTCCTCACTAGATGGAACCCTTGTTCCCTGCACCTACAAATGCTATTAAGTACTGGCTTTCCCGATATAGCATCAGGTTTCCTTACCATCCTTTCACTTTTATTATGCAATCCATGAATATATATATGGAAAGCATGAAATTATTACATATTTTTAAATAATATATGACTCAGGGAATCATTAAATGCTGAAGGTGAACTTGCTATTACAGCAGTGCACGGGATTAGGGAAGAGTAGAATCCCAGCTCCACAAGTATTATGTCTTCTCTATCGTTAATGGAAAAGAACTCCTCTAAACATCTATTCCTTCTCCCAAGGTCCTGGTACGGGAGGAGGAAGTAGTGAGTCATCTTAGTACTCTTGAGTGCTGGTGGTGATGAGTACTTGTGTACTCGTCCAAGTAACCTTGAATTCCAAAGTATGGAAAGGAATGGGAGAAAAACAGCGAATCAATCCTCTTCAAAAGTATGAATTAGCTCGTTAAATACGCATGAATGTTAGGGGGAAATCAACATAAATTTTACATAAAATGAATGTAAAAATGCTGCTGGGGATGTATAGGGCTTCCCAAAAGTAGGTGTCATTTTAAATTAGGAAAAAAACGCAATTAATATTGAAAAAGTGCTGATATTTTTATTTCAATCCAAAGTACAAACATGAGGTTAAGTGTGAAATATGATATCATTTAAATGTCCACCTTGACCCTTCTGGCAAATGATCATCCTTTCGACGAAGTTTTTCATGACTTTTTGGCACATTTCTGGCTCAATATCACGAATAACAGCTCGAATGTTGTCTTTCAATTCCCGAGTCGTCTTGGGACCATTAGCATAGACTCTCCCCTTCACGTATCCCCACAGGAAAAAGTCCAACGGCGTCAAATCACACGATCTAGGCAGCCAATTGATGTCCCCATTTCGTGAAATGACGCGACCAGGAAATTTCTCAGGCAATAGCCCAATTGTTTCGCCAGATGTGTGGCATGTAGCGCCGTCTTGTTGGAAATAAAAAATAATTTATACAATTTCTATGCGTTGCGCGACTGTGTATCGTTCCATTTGCACAAACCTCTTAATTTTTAGCTGTCACCTGTCAAATACTGACGTTCAAACTTTGACCGTTCAGAAATGCCGCGAAATTTAAAATGACACCTACTTTTGGGAAACCCTTTATATGGGAATGTCAATTTTACGTAAATTTTATATCACCGTTTACGTATTCCAGAGGTGACATTTCTGCAAACATGTTGACATTATCTTGATGATGGTTTGCGTAAAATAGATATAAAATGGACAAAAAAAATTTACATTCAGTTTACGTAAAATTAGCATAAACATGCTGCTTGGGCACTTCAAGAAGTTTGCCTCTCTTGTTTATCAGCGCACATTTACTTGACCCTGCCATCAGCGACATGTTCATAGCTACAGCAGGTATCATGCCACAAGGTAAATTTTATGTTCTGGAGGTGATCTCGGTTCGGAATCGGCCTTTAGATGGTTCGTAATAATTCGGAATTCTGTAAATGAAGAATGTTGACGAAAGAATCGTAAGAAGGTGATTACAATTCTGGAAAATTGAAAACCGTTTTCGTCCATAAGGACTACATTACTTTCGGAGACCCACGATTTCGGTCTGAGAAGTATTTGAATGAATGCTTCTTTAAAAAAAAACCTTCATGCACGCGCATTTGTTCCACCAACTTTCATTGATAAACTCATGAGTCAAGTGCAATGGAAATAGTCTAAATCTTATTGATCGCCTTGCAGAATTTCAAGCAATAGCGAATTGCATGGGCTGTCATGGACATTCTTTTGAGGGAAAGGAGAAAGGAAAGGAAATCTTCCTTTCGAGCAGGGAAAAAACTACATTTCGTCTCCAATCCAGGCTACAGCGAAAAATACTGTAATTACAGTTGTACAATCCCGTAGGAGAGTTCCAAATAAAGACTTAATAATTATATAAAATCTAGCAATACATGGGCACTTTACTTAAAACATATGACTCAAATATTTCCATAGCATGTGTTGGCTATAAAGGAAAATATTTTTCTCAAGTCATTTATTCCATATCTTGCAAACAATGTGACAATCGATATATTGGGGAGACAGAAACTTCCTTTTCGTCTCCTTTTCAACAATCATAAGAGTAGTGTTCGTCGAGGTATTTGCAACATACCTGAGGCGAAGCATTTCAGCCAAGCATCTCCCTGTCCTTCCTATTGATGACATGGTAATGGATATTTTTGCTGGAAATCTCATCTCTGTGCTTCATAAAGGTAGAGTAGAAATTAAGGTGCAGGGCTATTCTTCAGAATAAAGGACACCAGGTGGAGAATGATAGTTTCGGAAAGAAGTAGTAAAAAGGTATACTCTGAATCATAAATGGTTAAATAAAGCGGGGGCAGCCTGTATATAAGGGGTGATCAGAATGTCAAAGTTGTGAAACTAACTGATAAATTAAATAGTTTTTATTACATCTACTCTTTAAAAAAAAAAGTTAAACTTTATAACTAGGGTCAATGTTATTAGGCCTCTCTGGATAAAAGTGGGAGATCTGGTTCACTATGTCTAGCCCGTGCCGATGGAGAGAGCATTTACCAACATATGCTGATACACGACGATACGCTTGTGACTAACTGCTGCTTCATTCTACAGTAGTTGCAATGGTCCTCCGTAGAAGTGTCTGTGAACCTATTCCTGTTGTATGTGCCAAAACTCAATTTCGGTCGCCGATTTCCCATTTTCTAAAATTAATCCAGGGCGCTGATTTCCAAATGCTCAACACCTGAACCCACGTGCTGTTGCGCAAAACATGAAAAAATGTCACGAAATGAATTACAAGCCATCGATATGCGGGATACAAAAGGTACAGCAGGAGGTAATTTTTATGATTGATTTTGGCTTTCTATAGCTCATTTGAGGGAGTTCTCGGTCCAACCGCGGTATGTTAGAGGTGAATTGAACTGGGATATTAAGAGGAAAAGATTTTCGTTCCACAAGATGGCCGAAAATACCGAAGTGCTGGGGGGAAAAGACCTTCAGAGTTATGCAGATAAAAGATTGGGAAAATCGGATGACCCGTGGAATGCTCGAATCCTGGCCTCTTCCCTTCACCTGTCCCTTCCTGCTATCTCATTGGTCTTCAGCCGGAGTGAGTGGCACAAAGTCAATTGGAGATGTCTGACTGAGCAAAATTGCACCAACTTCTCATTTCCGGGTTGTCTCCTTACCATCGCACACGAAAGCACTCACCTGACTTAAAAGCCAGAGTGGCGCAAGGTCTCAAATATCAAGTTAACAGTGCAATACGCAGACGTGACCTAGTTCAGGTCCGTAAGGCCGAAATTCATGATGGCTATATGAAAAAGAACGAGTATTGTCATTCGAAACGAACTCTTAAACCTAATGTCACAATTGGTACAGGGAGGCAAAAATATGTGCACTCGACAACCGAGTGGACACGCACATGGTCGGAAGGGCACGTTGACAGGAATCGCTTGAGCAAGACTAGATATAGCCAGAAATCCTCTGGGAAAGAAGACAATACAAAACATATTGTATGGAAGAAAATGATTCCTCGTAACGAAAAGGCTGGTTTCTCATGCACAAGAGTCACACTGGCGAGAAAATGTGTAGAAAAGTATGCGCCTTTCATTTTGTACTCCCAGAATCAAGTACGCAAGTAACTCCGTAGCAGCAAATAGCGTAAGGAAGAATTCATTGAAATGATCAGCATTCAAGCAGAGGTGAGGGTTCACATCACGTTCATCGAGGAAACGAACACCCTACTTCATACAATATGAGACTGTAAATGTTTTCCTTCTCAAAGCAAAAATGTATGTTGTTTCTCCTGCAGCGAAGATGTCTTTGCCTTGAGTTGAATACCCCTATTTCCTACCTGTTTTTATTACTATTATATTTCTTTACAGAGTGGTTTTCTTTCTTACGAATCTCCAGGTTTTCTTGGATTTGTCATTTTGTTCTCCACATTTTCCATTCTACGGCATTCTTATTAACTCGTTTGCTATTATACTTAAATTTAATACTATTTTAGGCTAATTTCCGTGGAAGAAGCGAGAGAACAATGGTAAAGGCAGAGCTGCAGAGGAAGTCTGAATAGGACTGCACACAAATTTCGGGACTCGAGGCGATTGAACTAGGAAACCGCCTCAAGCCAAACTACTCGACTTTGAATAGTTCCTTTCCCTATTCTCAGATAGTACTTCGCTATTTTTCACTATATTCAACCCAATAATGTATCCTAATACCCTCGTATCACGCTCCCACACACACACACACACACACACACACTCTCTCTCTCTCTAGAAAAAACAAACACCCTGTTAACAGGGTTAATGGTGTGACCCATTTGCTGTTCGTGTTGGAAGCGTCCCCAAAGCAATTTCGACCGAGCATAGAGAAATAACGTGACACATGGGGAACTGGGGATACTATTTTTGAAGGTCATGCGACTTACGTGGAGAATGGGTGCGACATCGGGCCGCTGAGGTGGAATGATGACATCACCGTGCCCTCCGAAAGAGGAAAGGACCACTGGCTCCATCTACCTCCTCGCTCCCTTAGAGCTTCGTGTCGGACAGTCGCTGCAACATGGCGAAGACCCTAAGGAAGGGTCATGTGAAACTAATTTTGGTGCAGGGCGATCCATATGTTTCGGAAGTTATGATTAACTCAGCTGAATAATTTAAGAATTAGACAACTGTTCCAATTTTAGCGTGAATGATACGCGTTGCCACCCTGAATTCATGTTCTAATGTGTTGGGCCTTGACCAATCCTAGGTAGACTTGGTTAGGCCCATGTGATAATAGGCCTAAGAGTTATTCGTTTAAGTAGCCCATATTAAGTTATGCCTATATAGGAAATATAATTTGAAAAAAGCGTGAGACTGGTAAAGTAAAAGGTAGGTTCGTTGCATTTAAATTGAGTTTTTATATGCTTCAACACACTTCTGACTTCTAAGTAGGCTGAACTATCTCACACTCCCCACCATCAGTAATTTCGTTGTCAGTGGGAAACCTCTCGAGCTCAGTGGAAAAGGACGTAACTCAGCTGAAACAGCTGCAACTTAAGCCAAGTTACCTGCCTATCATAGGCAAAAATGAATTCTTTAAAGTTTTAGGCTTTGGTCAGAGTAATGAAGGGTCTGTTTGATCCTTATCCAAGTAGGCTAGGCCTAGACTAAGCATGAACTCAGAGGTTAAGAGTTAGCATTAAATTACCTTGAGTAAAGATAGAAAAAGTCGTAATTTCAGTATCATCTGTTTCACAATCTTAAAGGTATTTTTTGTGCTACTGCCCTATATGAGAAGGTCATAAAATTTTATGAGAAAAAGGCACTGTGATATATTTGACATATCATATGGTGTGTCATATGTGATGTATGGACATGCATGGGAAAGATATCTGATCATGTTGAAATGATATGTTAATATACATGACCTAGACAAACTTAATGAAGGGCATGTATGTCAAAGATATGGGTCAGCAGACAAGATATTTTAATGAATTTAGTATGTATATATTGAATGTGATGGGGCATGCATGTCATGCCTAAAGGAGACATGGCCAGATCAGGTATGAAACGCATCATATATCATGTCATCTTCACAAATTCTGTTATAAAAAATTTCAGGACCAATGTTGAGAATTGGCACTTCACATATCACTGTAATGACATTGAACATGTAAAAGAAAAGAACTCCACCATTAGGTGCCTATCATAAAACTCACTGGAATGAGTAAGCAAAAATGTCCATTTAATATCCACATTATACAAAAATTTATTTGTCAAGTAGAATTCCACTGTCAGGTTTTGCAAGTTGCACTATCATAAATATAATTAATATGTTAAGGATAAATAATAAAAATGATTGCTGCAGATTCCCCATGCTTCTGCCAATTTGGTTTTCTTTTAGGGATCATTGGCTTCATCTTGGATTCTATGCTTTCTTGTCCCTTGCAGCTCTCTCATCTTCTGATTGAGAGCCAAGAAAGTTTTTCTAGCATAGTTGCTGCAATGTAACATGGACTTTATGTCCCAGCAACAAGAGCCTATGTTTGACATAAGTTAGAAGACATATGTTCAGTAATTTTGTTCAGATGCACTTTTATATAAAAGCATATGCTTCAACCAGATACATAAAAATATGCAGTCAACCCTCAATATAATGCCACTGTTGGTCATTGCTGAAGTTTGGCACTATATTGCATTATCTCATATTATATAGGTTACTTCTCATATTATGTATGTCTGCAAGAAAAGGTTGGCAATAAGTGAGGGTGGTGTTATATTGAGTGGCAGCATAACAAGAGTCAACTGTATATGTTGCCAAGGTATGTTTAATGTATGAGTAAGCCTCACATGGATCATATGCTTCAATTTTTTTGCTGTCACCAATGGGTACACCTGTCATGGTGCCTGTTATGAATGGAGCATAATGGGCTCACCTGCCTTCATGCATATTCCTTACTATGCATGATGGCTCTTTCCACACTAATTTCATTGCATGAAAATGGAGAGCTAACAAGTTATCATTTTTAATTGTCAACATTTTTTTCTTGGTGCTTGCATTTTTTAGAATTTCCTGCAGCAGGAAAAACATGCATGGTACAAGCCAGCTCTTTGTATCAATCAACTTGTGCTTCAATAAACATCATGGTCAGGAAAGGCATCTCTGACTGAAAATTGAACATTTTAAAGTATTTTAATGCAGAAAACCTGTGACAGGAACACCCATCATGAATTAAATTCACCTTTGGTCACTTTGGGATGATTCCAGCTACTGTCAGTTCACAATTATTTTATTTTTGCGAAGGCTGAGAAGGAAATTCCATTCTACTTTGAGCAAGACAGAAAGAAACTAGGTGATACCCACATACTCATATTTGACCCATCATTGCTGCTTTTCATGTGGCAAAATCCATTTTTAACCCCTCAAGCCAGTGTACTCTGCTGGCTAATGCACGAGGCTGTGAGTACACACTCTCTGGATACCAGCTTGAGGGATGCAGTCTAGGCTGGTAAATAAGTTGCCAATGTTAAGGCAATTTGATCAGTATGGAAGGGCACTATTTGTGTCTTAAGTATCAGGTTGATTCATTTGAAATGGTGCTTTTTTTTTTTTTTTTAAAGTGGTAATTTATTCAATATTATACACACTAATCAATAATATATTTTCCATTTGAATCAATAACTTCCTGCCACCTTTTTGGTAGTTGCAGGATTCCTCTGGCGTAGAAATCCGTTGGCTTTGAAACAAAATAGGCAGCTATTTCGTTTTTTGAGATCTTCTTCATTTTGAAAATTTTTTCCTGTCAGATGGTTCTGCATCGAGTGAAACAAGTGGTAGTCTGATGGCGCAAGATCTGGAGAGTATGGTGGATGCACCAAACCTTCCCATTGCAGCTCCCTGATTTTTTGTTTCACAATTCGAGAAGTATGCGGTCGAGCATTATCATGCAAAAGAATGACTCCCTTTTGATTGACCAGTGCCGGTTGCTTTTGGAGTAGCACTTGGTGTAGTCGGTCCAGTTGATGTGCGTAGAGATTGCCAGTAATCGTTTGGTTCGTGGGAAGAAACTCAAAGTGGATAATCCCTTTCATATTCCACCAGACAGAGAGCATGATCTTCTTTGGATGTAGTCCAGCCTTTGGAGTTGGTTATGGCACCTGATCTTTGTTCACCCATTGTTTCCGCCGCTTAATGTTAACATACAGGGCCCATTTCTAATCTCCTGTCACGATTTGATCTAAGAAAGGCTCGCGATTTTGACGTGAAGAGAGAGAAACGCAAGTGTTGTAGCACTGCATCTCATTCTCAATTGATAACTTGTGCAGAATCCATTTTCCGATTTTCTGCACTTTTCCAATCACCTCAAGTTGCCTGCAGATGGTTGATTGAGAAGTGTCAAGTCTATCCGCTAACTCCCGCTGCATTAAATATGGCTCAGAGTTCACTACATCTTCCAAGGAGTCCTTGTTGAGGTCGCTGATTCGATTTCTGGCCGGGTCATCTTCCAAGCTTTCATCACCAGATCTAAATTTCTTGAACCATCTTTGGCACGTTTGAACATGAAGAACACCATCTCCAAAAGCTTTACAAATGTTTTTGGTCGCATCTACGGTGTTTCTTCCAAGTTTGAATTCATAAAGCATGCAAACACGAATATGAGACTTTTCTACCTACATCTGGAATTGCAGGGAAAAAGGATTGATTAAAAGAAGAACAAAAACAAATAAAGCAGGAATCACTGTCACAATATCAGCTTTAATTTAATATGTAACAAGTCAAAGTGATCTTATCTTATCGGCTGAAATATGATAGGATTTTCATATGGTACCAGGAAACGCCACTTCAAATGAATCAGCCTGATATTAATGCTCAAGATGACACATATCAAATTAACAGGAAGATTTGATTGCATCACAAGTGGCATTATGACTTCCAATTGAAGAAAATGGATCAAAAGCATTTATTCTGGAATTGGGTAAAAGCCACAGTTCTCTGCACTTTAGTTGAAAGTCTTACACCTCTTTAATGAGTTGCCATGGTGTTTTTGGCTTGACTTACTCACCTTCCCCCCCTCCTTCCATGGTGTTATAATGAAAGGTGCTCAAGCAGTACTTAATGGGTACATTCAGTTGTGACCCAGGTAATGATTTGAGGTTCACAGTTCTCAGCAGGCTCTGACTTTATTAAGACCCATATGCCTGGATTGACAACATTGACAAGAGGTGTCACCCCATAGTAAAATGCCTTTTAAAGCCCTGATGCAAACATTGAACCATGACCCCCAAGTCTTGACTTGGGTCAAAACTGAATGTGCCCAGTAATTGCATTCATTGGTAATTGTCTAGGGATATATTGATGAGTCGAGCTCACTGACTGCTATCCCTTCTTTAGCTAGGGTACTGTTAATTCATAACTCGATAGTAAAGTCCACAGAAAAGTATGAAGCTCAAATAAAATGGTTAAGTAAACCCAAAAGCACTCTAGCACCATTGCATCTTGATTAAGGAAAATAGAAAGAACTTTCCTTTGAATTTACATCAGTCACACCTTGGTGTCATGACAGAAAATTCCATTGAATTAAAATCAGAATAGTTGTGATATCCTTCTCACTAAAAGTAAGGTTCACCACAATACTTAGGTATGAATTTAAAGTTCTCCTTTTAAGTAGGTCCAATAGTAGGACTTCCAGATGTCTCAAGACAAAGTTGGACTAGGTTTGTTAACCTTGCATATAGACCAGGAACAATGGAGGGGATGATACATACAAAGAAGTGGTTCCCATTTTCTCAGAATCAATCAAGTTAACTCTGGGATAAAAATAACCAACTGGCACTATTCTCCCACCAATTTACTTTGGAAGAGTTAACTCCCCGGTGAATGATGGCTATGGCTTCTTTTTGGGCTAAATTCTCATCAGACTTGCAAAGGGTGTGGATGTAAAATAAAAAAGAGAGCTTCTTATCATCAGAAAATATGTGTTTGTGGTTTTCCATCAGATGCATGAAGCTTGGAATGATATTTCATGACCACAAATTTCCTGTATGCCTAAACAGTTTACTCAGTTGCTAAACTGACTTATGGTTTAAGCTTTGTGTTGAATAGCTGATAGCTTAACAAGTGTTGTCTCTTTGCTCCTCCATAATTACTTTGATGCTTCAGAGCTGAACCTTGATTTCCAAGACTCAAGCCATTGCATTGGTCATGGCTAATACCATTGCTTGCCCATCCATAGACAAGCTCCTTTACCCAAGACCCCTGCTGAAGTGGGGGCCCAAGTGAAAACTCAGTCATTATCCCCATGATCTTCTATGGAGGGATCCATTAGAATTGAAATCAGTACAGTATGGAATACTTTCTTATTACTTCCATGTTCACTCAAGACATCTAATGGCTGTAAGCAGAACAACTGCAAATGTTCAAGGTTTGCTTGGTGGAACCACTGTTCCATCTCCTCTTGGTCCCTCAAATTCCTCTAAGAGTTGGTAAATTTCTGTAAATTGGAAAACTTCTCTATGGAGAACCTTCCTTCCCCCCCAAATGGTAGATCCCTCTCTAGCAAGAACCAATTATGCAAGTTTTGTTTGTGATTTGACCAGATTTTTATATCTGGATGGTTGATTGGTTTTGAAGTAGCCAACACTTACACACACACTCTGTCAATTGTTTCTTGCTGTAAACTGAAGCATTATATTTTGACACCTTATATTTTTTCTGTAAATATCCTATTCAAAGTACACTATAAAATCCAGATCCCCTATCCCCTGCCATTGCATGAGTGTCAGTCAGTATTGTTGCTCAGTTTCTCTGTGACCAAGTCTTTGCCCAAGGAGTATAAAGGGGAAGAGATTGTGGCAAGAGAAGAGCTTGTCTATTAGGGAGTTAAAGTGGTGACTGGGGGTGAGCTCAGCAGAATCACTGCCCCTTCTCCCCTCCAAGATTCTTTATGGTAGTTTGCAAATCTCCAAATATTGATTTATTTATTTTTTGCTCACTAAACCCCTGAAAGGCTTGTCCAGGTCCAGAAGCAAGTCTGGATGCTGATGCTAGATTTGATGTGATAATTTATCCTGGTTAGAGACCAGTTCCTATACATCTGTCACTCAAATCAGCTCATGGTCTTTAATTAGTTACATAGGTAGAAAGTAGGGCTGTCACGATAGGTCGATGCATCGATACCACTATCAATAGTTGGAGATATCGATAGTTTTTTCGACCATCACAATGCATCGGCAAAGTATTTTTAAGGGGAAATGTCTCATTGGGATTGAGGTGAGTACAGTACAATACAGTCCGTCCGGGCGGGGAAAGGAAGAAGCGGCGTGACCCGGATGGGCTTCCGATTTATTATCACAATCAAATTCCAGAAATGCTGGGACTGACTATAAGAAAGTTGGGAAGGGAAAAAAAAGTCAGATCAGAGGCACAAAAGTGAGAAAGGAGAGGGGGGAAGACCAAGAAAAAAAATTTTTCTCTTCGGTTTCTGTTTTCGGCTCGATCTAATCAGGTGCATGCTACGAAAGTGAACTGTTCTTATACTCCCTTGATTTCGAAACCTACATTGGCTAATCTGCTCTCTATATTCCTATCACTTTAGTATGCAGGCTTAATGTTCTTAATTTTTAACTTGCCCTAGGGCATTTATCTCTACTTAAGGTGAACTCAGAGTGAATATTGTACATAGACATTGCTTATACTAGGGCTGTACCAACGTTTCGGCAACCGCTGGTATGGAACCATCAGCAGGTTTCCTATCTGGCGGTGCCAATGTCCAAAGACATTGTAGAACGAAGAAAAAGAATGAGAAAAATAATTACGTGAACGGGGCTTGGCAGCTGATTCTCAACGGCAATAGGAAAAATTAGGGTTGTCCTGATGCATCCATCGATGAATGGATGTCATCTTCGATAGTTGGAGGCATGGTAGGTTTCATTACTCTTTGCGAAGGTCATACATTCCCCCTGCACTCCCGACAACAAGTGTGAGATAATAGAAGCTGGAAGAGGTCAGCGCTCCGATTGCGGTGAGAAAAGATGGAATCCTCCCCCCACCCGATGCATCGATACACTATCGATAGTTCAGGTTGATGCATTGATGTTTTGAAAACTGCTATCGTGACAGCTCTAGTAGAAAGTGTGAGTTCTCTACCCTTGCAACATTATGAGTTTGCTTCATTCATTGCTCAAAATTCTGTGATGTGTTCACAGCAAATTCCTTATAGTTAAATAGCTTGCATTAACTTTTCGATTCATTATTAAATTCATGAAGAGTCTTTTCAGGGCAATTTGGAGAAGAAGTATGGATTCATCTTGCTTGCTTGACTGCTCACTCTGTTTTTACAGAATGGTCTATTTTGCCAAAATATCAGGGAATTCATGCTCCTCAAGTGAACTAAATGCATAACTATCATCAGTTGATTATCATAAAACTACTCCTAAGATTTCTGTTATCCATTCTATGACAGGTTTCACAATCTTCACAGAATATTTGCAAGCAGTTTCCCTTCTTTCACTGTAGAATGTATATCATAGAAGCTAGCAAGTAACATGATATAATGGTATCAAGTTGCCATTCCTTTTGTTTATGGGTCTTACCCTTCATAAGCTCATTAGTGCATGGGCTAAGACAGGGGTTGGGAACCTTTTTGGCCATGTGAACCATATTAAGTTTGAGCCAAGAGCTTGTGAGCCTAAGATTTTCAAAACAACTGAATTTTTCCTGAAGTAGGTGACAGACATGTACATTATTTGAGAGAAATGAGGAACAACCATGATTTTTAACCATGACTTGTGAACCTAACTTTTCAGCTAGTGAGCCAAATTTAGCTCATGAGCCATAGGTTCCTGACCCCTGGGCTAGGATATGAATGAGATTCAGACTTCAAGGGCACATGGAACTTGTGTTTTGTTACTGTCATCCCTTTAGATCTGTCCATGTGACAAAGCATGTAAGGACATAAAATCATCCTCTTGAAGCAACCAGGAAATGGATATTGAAAGTCCACATTTCATTCCATTGATCTCACCAAACAGTATGACAAATGGGAATATAAAACAGGATTGGAATGGCAAAGGTTGTAATCCTGGCACAGCAGAGGATTTCTACAGCTCACATGGGGGCATGCCATGGAGGAAACCTGGCAGGCAATACAACATTGGAATATATGGGTGAGGTTTTGAAAAAAAAATTGTAAATCAGTCTTTGCTGTCATTGGTGGGTTTAGAATATCTACCATTATGAGGACTCTTCCCTCATGTTCCATTGCAAAAATATTAACATAAACTTCCTTGAAAAGGTTACACGAGGAGATAGAGGATTTCTTCGAATACATGCAACTCTCACCCATGGAAAGGGCTATGAGAGAATGGGTAGTTCTACGGATCAAGAAAACCATCAGTTGCTTGTGGCCTGAAGCTCATGCTGAAGTATTTGGAAGTATGAAGACAGGCTTGATGTTGCCAACAAGGTGAGAAAGCCTAGCAAAGTTGATAGAAAGGAAAGAATTGGGTCATTGGACAATTCCAAAGTGTTGTAAGGATGGAAGTGGTCCTTCATATCTATCTCCATATGGCAAGACTTTTATCCATAGCTGCAGAGCATTTCAGATATCTTTTTCATGCTCAAACTCTCCTTTCTATCATAACTTTGCTCCATAGACTGGATTAATAAAAGCCTTTGTTACTTTAATCCAGAACAATACCTTGAACTTAGTGGTATCATTTCCTTTTTTGCAGTGACATTGACATTGTTGTGTTTGGGAAATGGCCAACGCATCCCTTGCACACAATGGAGAGAGCCCTTCGAGAACATGGCATTGCTCGACCACATTCCATTAAAGTCCTGGATACTGCCTCAGTGAGTGCAATAAGTTTGTATCCTTGTGTTTTTTAGTAGGACTATATGCTGAAATTCCCTATTGGCATTGATTGTTTTTTTTACCTCTCTGCACCAGGTACCCATTATTAAAATGATTGATTCAGAGACTGACATCAAAGTTGACATCAGCTTTAACAAGACCAATGGTGTCAAGTTTGCTAGCTTCATAGGAGACTTCATTGTGCGTTATCCAGTACTTCCCAAGCTACTTATTGTCCTCAAGGAGTTCATGTCTGAACGAGATTTGAATGAGGTGTTTACTGGAGGTATTGGATCTCATGCCCTTACTCTGATGACCATCAGCTTTCTTCAGGTGTGTTGTTTTAGTTTCACATTCACATTTTCACTTATCTGGAAATTTTTGCACCTCATGCCAGTATCATGGCCATTGGTGGCAAGTTCCAGATTGGTTTATTGGTGTTATTAAATAGGTCTATGTCTAGAGTCCATCCTTAAGAGAATAGTTTCATCTGAGATTTCTTCTACCCATGATGTTCACCTTCATGTGAATGAAAATCATCAGCATCTTCACTGCCTCAAATTCATGTACCTCTTTTCATGAAAGAGTCCTTTTCACACTGTTCTTTGATTGGTTATGAAATTTTCCTGAGGCATTATGTTCAATTTCATTGAACTCAATTCTTTTCAATATGAATAATTTAATTTAATTTAATTCAATTCTTTATATTGAAAAGCATTTTGGGTTGCAGTTTGGGGCTTCTAATAAGTAACAAGGTATTTTTATAGGCAAAGTAGGCCTCCCATTCATAAGCAATATTCATATATAGGGTGGTTAAAAAAAATTATCTATCATTTTCTGTGGGGGAAATACAGTCAGCAACAGCGCCCTCTATTAGGATACAGTACCATCTTGTGGAAGAGAAAAAAACCTCTTACACTCATGAACCTCTCTGTCAAGTATCAGCTGGATTAAACTGCCCCTTGAAAAGTTGAAATAGAAAAATTCATTGAATTCTGAGACAGTCGAGCACAGGTAATCATCTCTCTTGAGGTGGAATGATCCACTTCTAAGCACCTTTAATTCACCTCTGAATGGGCATTGCACAACTTAGGCAGGGGTGCTGAAGAAAAGCTGGCAAGCATTTCAACACCTTGTAACTGTCAAATATTGATTGCATATCCAATGAAATTTTTTTTGCTACATTTATGAAACTGTGTTTCTTCCGTAGAAAATGGTAATCATTTTTTTTTTTACCACCCTATATTTCAATGTGGGGGGCAGGAGAGCCAAGTTCATTTCTTTTTATGAGCTAGACATTAACCCTTTGAGCCCTGAGTTCCTGAGCAATTTTGAGCCTTCTGCCTGAGCTCCTGGGCCAAAATTTGCTAATAATGGGTATACAATGTTTGTGCAAATATCATAGTTGTAATAAAAGAGATGAGATTGATGCTTTGCATGCAAATAGCAAGATGACATACCTTCATTTTAACGCCAGAATTCTTTCTTTGTGTGCCAATCAGGCAATACGTCATATCTCTCTACCACTGGTAAAGCGGTGGTGAGGGCTCAAAGGGTTAAGGGTACCATTCAAAAAAAGTATCTTGGTGTTGATAGTACTCAGATTGGACATTTTTATTGGTTATTAACCTTCTGCATGCAACTCAGCTGCATGCTGACAAGAATTGCTGGTTGACATAATGGATCCTTCATTTTTATGTAGATGAAACCTCGAATGGATCCTGTGGACAAAGCAAGTGATGTCAATCTGGGAGTTTTGCTCATGGAATTCTTTGAGCATTATGGAAGGCATTTCAACTGGTCGAAGACAGGCATTAAATTCCAACGTGATAAATCCTGCTACATCAACATTGAAGAGGTAGGGTATCTGATTTATAGGCTTTGGTTTAGTATTATGTTTGTTATATTTGGGCTAAAAATGTCATGGGACTGATAGTATTTGCTGCAGTTGTCCTTGTGCTTCTAGGGTAACTATAGATAAGTTGGCTACCAGGGCTAGCCAATCTAATTTTTCTGGGGGTGTCACACCCATCATGCTGCATTCAAACCTATCAGCTTTCCACCAGCCATCAGGTATTTTCAGCATGTTGTTCCAAGGGCACACTTGAAGAACTATAGGGTCAATGGGCTTTGGATATTGGAACTTGGAATATGCTGACACTAAGCGGTAGTGAGCCAAACATTTTGGAAGTGATTAGTAAGCAACAACTACATGGTGTTAAAAAAAACAAAACTGTGCCAATTCGTTTTTTATAGGCATGATAGCTAATTTCATTTGATTGGCCCAGTATTTCACAAACTGCATGTAGATAGATGGAAGAATGTTTTTGCAAATTTTGAACGATATTGACCCAATGTATCATGTGCTACACTGCTTTGAACTTGAAGGTTAAGAAAATGCACCGGACATCCTTGCTGATGCATCCGTCTCAGCTGTGCAGCAAGTGTCTGTACATGCCATCCAGAATGGTCAAGGAGGTTAGCTTCACTGGCTGAGATGAACGCATCAGGCGGACTTGTACAACACACTTTTTTACATATCAAGTTTGAACTGTCATAGAACACGATGCAATTAATTAATTTTATTGAAATTTGGCACATACCTTCTTTCCTCTATTTACATGCATTGTTTAACCATTTCCATGCTATGGACAAGTATACTTGTTGGGTTACCCAGCACAGCTATGATAAGCTCTGTAGTGGAAGGGTTAAAAAGTGATGTTGATCTAATATAATTTATTGTCATTAAGAGTTAAAAATTATTTGGCACTTAAAAAAAAATACCATGTAGATATAGTTGACCTGACAATAATCAAGAGGAAAGTTAGTGGTTCTATTACCCTTAATCATGGATTGATTTCCTACTGGGGCAAAGCCACTTATGTTTGGCCAGACCTTGTAGTCAGACACAAGGCATGGAGGAAATTAAGCAAGCAAATGGGAACTGAACATTGTGCTGCTAACAATTAGGGCTGTCAATTTGATTATATTAGATCAGCTGATTTTATTGATTAAAGTATTAATCGTGATATAAAAAATCAGTTCAAATTAATATCATTTTAATCTCCCCCTGAATGCCTCATTTTCCCTTTGTAATTTTACTGTGTAGTTCATAGTTTTGCGAAACAACCAAAAACAAATGTTTTATCAAGTGAATGAAATGTAATGATGGTGTATATAAGGTAGCTGTTTTCACACTGCTCACTCTTCCTCAAAAACGAAATACTATTTTGGGGAAAGGGGAACACAAAAACAAAGCCATCATTATCAAACTATTCCGAAAAGAAGCTTCCTGACCCCTTCACATCCACACACGTACTGGTACGCATCCCATGTCCTTGTAACTAGCCTATGGCCTTTAAAGGCATAGCTTTGCAGGCCTCGCACATCAGGCTAATGTAACATGCCTAGGGCAGAGCAACTGGAAATTCACTGGATGCGAATGGGGAAAAGAAAGTCTTAATGAAAAAGCTGCAAGGGAAAGCACAGAAGGAAGAGGGGAGTTGGGCAGGGACATGGGACAGGAGGGATTTAAATTCAATTAATCGATTTTAAAATTTTAATCGATTGACAGCCCTACTAAAAATGTGTTGTGGCAAAGCAAGCAACAGACTCTTTGGATCATCAAAGACTGAAACAGGAAGGTGCTGGCTCCCAAAGTAGAAATACCCTGAAGTAGAAGGAACATTTTTAAGAGCTCTTGAGCCCAACCACAGTAAACTCTGAAGTACTCTCCTCAGAACTTACCTGCACTGTGAATAGTATCACTTTGGAAGGACCTGTTCACCATTTGCTCCTACAACTCTGCACCAACTTGTCCCTTGGGCATACCAAGTGTGACAAGTGAATGGAAACTGAAAAATGACTCCTAAATCTGTAAAGAAACCCTTGAGAATGAGGAAGTTCATCTTCACCCCTCACCCATGCTGGTGTGTTTGTCTGGAATGGTGTTAAACCAAAGCCAAGTTTCATCTTCAATGACAGTCTATAAAACCATGTCTCCAAAAAAAGTTTTCTTGGATTAATGGAACAATGGTAATTTAAATAGAACCACTTCACTGAAATAAATTTTAAAATGCAGTCTTAAGATCTGGTGGACACATGAATGCTCATTAAATACTGGTGCTTCCCTGTATTGTAGATATGATATGTCATGTCATTTTATTCCCTGGCTCTGTTTGCTTCCAGTATGATTCAGCAAATTCACTTATGCTTCCTGAGATCCATTTAAAGCTCATGCAGTGCAGTACTGTTGCTATTATTGTGGAACTATTGATTCCATATTCATAGTGGCAGTGTAAGAGGCAATGTTTATCCTTTATTGGTGCTCCTGAGCCTCTGGGAGCTACTCTTCATTTCTTTGTGGTGGCTCCTGTGTGATCTTCATGACCATGATGGAGAGGAGTGCAAAGTCCCTTATGAGGAAAACTATCCACATGACCATTTCTAAAGCCACAGCATGGATGAAGCAGCAGATGAAAGCAGCCACAGGATGGAGTTCCTGCAGGTCATGCATTGGAGCCACAATGTTCATGCCAAAGAATTTCACATCCAGGCTCCAATTGATGGCAATAGCAGCCAAGAAAATCTGGAAAAGTTTATATTAATGTATCAACCAACCCAAAATCACAATGTTTCAAAAGTTATCTTGACCCTGCTTCTTGGCCATGACTTGATAGTTATATAGGCACTATTTGAGAGCCTACCAACCTCAAGGACTATGAGTCGGCAAATGCGATAGATGAACTGGAGGATGGAGCTAAGGGTAGAGGCATGGTGGTGATGCACATGACCTTGAAGCAGGATCAGGTGTCTCCACACTTCATTCATGAAATCATTGTCATGATGGTGGTGTAGCAAGTTCTCATGTGGGTCTTGAAACTGAAACCCCTCTGGTTGACCTACAAGTTCCAAGTTTGGGAAGGGCTCTCGCTCATCTCCAGCATCAAAGAGGGTTTCCCTGGATCCATTGCGATAGGGTGGGCCATCTCCACCAGCATGTTGACTCATGAGACTGGACAAAGAAACCTGTAGCCAATGGGGCCTTTCATTTTGATGTTCCATCCTTGTCTGAGGCTTTCTTGGGAAAGAAAGGAAGGGATCAAGAGAAAGAAATGAAAGGAATTTCTTGTTTAAGAGTATCCATGGAGATGTGGTATCTATGCACCTGTTGTTGCAGAGGATTGAGACTCCCTCACCTCCGGCATACATAGAGGATCCTGTGACAGGTGGGAATACAGCAAAGAATTCCTATCGCATCAAGCAAGTTACCCAGGCATTTGAATACGCTTTCCAAGTCCTACAGGCAGCAATGAAGGGCTTGCTTGCTGTATTGCATTCTTGTAATGAATCAAGGTTGGTGTCAATTTTTTTTTCCTCAGCTGTTCATAGATGTTCAGAACCTGTCATGTATCTCCCAAATGTCACATGTTTCAGGAATCAGTGCTCTATTGAAAAATTCTTTAAATTCTTCTCATTTTCTTGTCTAGCTTACTGGGGAGAATAATCCATGTGTCTGATGAAGTAGTAGAATATCGTCAATGGGTTTCATCACATGTGAGCAAGGGTGCCACTTGCCAGGGATATCTTTCTTGTTGCAACCAAGTAATACCTCTACCCCAGCCCTCTTCTCTTCCTCATTTTCTGAATGAGGTTTGCAAGAAATTTTATTTTTACCATGAATAGCTCTGATAATATGCATTTAATACTCTGATTTATTGTACAGAATGGAGACGAATGTGATATGCCAAATGGCCAGTCTGGTGTGAAATTGACTCCTCATAGTCTTCAGTCACAAGGGAGCCTGATTGAAACTGAAGGTGAGCCACATCACCTGGTACCAGTAAGCCAACTGAACTGGGAGTTAGTCATAAATGGTCTTGATTTTATGTTACTGGTTGTTGAAGGGTGATGATGCTTTTTCTTTTTACTATTGTCTCAGGGTGATAATAGTGACCTAGGCAGTAGTGTGTACAAGCTCTTTGGATTGTTTTGCAGGCTTACATGGTTGTAAGGATTTGGTGCAAGATAAGGTGATTGCAAACCCACCAGCAACCACAGCCATAGCAAGTGCAATAAATTCTAGTCCCAGACAACCCTTAGGTATGTCAGATGTCACTAGTACCTTTCTGGCATTGTGCAGCTCATGTCTGACTGCTATTTTCCTCCTGTCATCTTGTGTTTCAGGATCTGTGGTTACCCATGCTTCTCCTCTAGTGAATGCATTAGACTCAAGTCCTCCCTGCAGTGTGGACCGAGCTACTCAAGTGCCCCTTGCTTGTGAACCCATCCCAGCCTCACACACTCATGAGTTATCAAGTATGGAATGCATAGTGTGGCTTTCTAGTGTTCCTTAGTAATGAATAAAAGTTGGCAAGCCTGTCCTTATGCATTATCAGGACAAAGTGGAAAGGTAGCCTTGTGGGTGAAGAGATCAACTCCACCTTCTACAGCTGTCATTGGAGGATATGATCTTAGGCGCTCTCCCTTCTACATTGGCCGTGTCAAGTATCAAGGGTACCAGATTGTGGGGAGACTTTGTCCTCAGCAACAATGTTGTTTCATAGTAGTTGACAACAAGGAACTAGCCCTTCGCTGCTATGAGGTGAGTCATTTTTTGCTATTTCATCTGATGTGTGTTTTCAATGCTACAATTAAGAGATGTCTGCTAATCCAGATTTTAGCTATGTATGAATGGGCCAAATTGTCTCCTGCGGTGCGGCAGGCTGTTTGGAACAGTTGTGATGGCTCCCTTGATGGACTCCAATCACCTTCCAAGGATGGTCAAGAGAGATTGAGAGTTGACAGCCAAGTAAGTACCACAGAAATATTTTGTGAGAGGGCTGGCTACCAATCAAGATTGAGAGTGACAAGGTGTTTTTCATCTTTTCCTCACATAGAGTTTTGACCGGGTTCTGCCGGATCTAGATACAAGTCTTCAGTGGGTACAAATGTCTAAAGATTCTCCCATACCTCTGCCAGCAGTCCAGGGTGGCTGCAATGCTGCTGGCATAGACCTGCATATTGGGCGTGTTGTGTTCAATGGCATGGTTATTCCTGGACAGGTAGGCTGGTGATTTTGTCCTCTTCAGAACACAGAAAAGGAAAAATAAACTAGCTTATCTAGGTGGTATCTCATTCCTGTGCAGTATAGACCTTATTTGTCTCTTGATTTTGCAGGTGAATCATTCTACCCGCATCTGCTCTATATCGCTGAATGGACAAGTGTTTCACTTTGACAAGTATGAAATCCTGCTTGTGATACCAAATGCTCATGTGACTCTCTGATGCACCCTGATACTTGGTGTGCATGCATTGTCGCAGGATGTAGTCAGTAATCTGAGATTACCTGTGCAGCTTTTCCTGATCTAACATGCCCATGAGAGCTCAACTTGCACTGTTAAGTATATAACCCTTGTCCTTCAAGCCTGCTTTTTCTTTTTATTTCACAGAAAAATACTTGTTCCATTGAGTGCTCCTCAGGTTCAAGCATATTATTGTGCTCTATTGCATAATCTTCCCTTTTTTTTCTTTAGTTATCTGTATTTTCTTGTGTAGATTGCTGTTCTGTTTGCTGCAATCATCTTTTACTTTGCTATAACCACAGTGCTCAGTCCAATTTGCTATTGCTCTTAAGTGTGTTATTGCAACAGGGCAACATCATTTGTGTATCAAGAGTGATTTGCCTATGGAGTATTTGGTGGTTTTAACACTGCATAGTTGATGTTTTTCAGATATTCACTTCCTTTGCAGTGATGGATGCTCACTTTGCCTGGTGCCATGTGCTTCACACAGAGTCTGCATTTTTTTCATAATGTGATCTGGTCTCCAATGTTTCCTGGTACAGACACAAGTTCATGGGACGGATGTTTACTTAATAGGAATAGGTCCATTTAATAGAAGTATTATTTTGGTATTTGCATTTATTTTTTCTGGACTTTTGTCCAAGAAAAAATAGATCTACAGTTGCATATATGTCCATAGTAGTTTGTGTTGCAGCATTCAGTCTCTGGAAAAGAAGATTGGATGGGAGAAAGAACTGCATTCTACACTTGAGTAAATATGGTGATTTGCACAAAGAGTAGTGATAATGGTCTAGTTGATTCACATGACATCAGGGTGCCAAATGGTCTACTGGACAGCCCCAATCAAAAGTCTGGTAGATTTTCCTCAGCAGCAGGGAAGAGGAATTCACTATTCCTGCATCATAGGGACTCCTGCCTGTTTATCTTTTGCTTAAACTATGCCCATCTGTTATATTTCAGATACAGCTCATGTGAAGATAACCAAAATGCATTGACAGGGACACTGGATTTAGTTAGTTTTGACAGCTGGAGAAGGCAGATGAGGAATGAATGAAGAAAATGATTGCATTAATCCTCAGGAGATATCAGACTCCATACTGAGGTGTCAGTCAACCCATTGGTGGTTTGTGTTCTCAAGTGTGCTGTGGGAGCAGTTGAGAGACATATTCATTCATATGACTATATTTTGCTTCATAGATTTAAGGGTCTTGCAGTTTTTAAATTGAGTTTCTAGGCTCTGTCAATTAATTTTGGGAAATGGTTACTTTGTGCTAGAAATGGGCTTTGAAATGGTTATCTTATCTGAAGGCTTAATATTGTGCTTGGCAAGACAAGTTTCAGTCTGTTATTGCAGTATCAGCTGAGAAGGACCCTACAAGACCTTTGATCTGGGCTGTACATATCAGATACCTTGCCTTTGACTTGTATATGTCATGTGTCCAGTTGAAATATGCTGTATCTGTACCCTTATTCTTGAGTATGGAAGTCCCAGCGCACAAAAGTTATCAAGTGCGGGATGTCACAGTAGTACACCGTGATATGTATCTTAGTATCATAGTGAATAATGCCTGTGATGAACAGGAATGTATGCATAGAGGTATTTGAATATTAGTATAATTTGATTGTACATGGGCCTATCCTAGAATGTGCCTTACATTTTGTTAGTGATCAGTACACTCTTATGGTGAGAGTTACAATTAGACTTAATTAGGCATTATCTTAGTTCCTTTACCACAAGTTCCTCAAAGGTTCATGTGAGGTTGAGAGATGAAAGCAAATGTATTTCTGGCATTCCCCAAGGTGTCGACTTGCTATTCCATGAATCATACCTTGTTTCAGCCATACCACTGCCTTTTTCCTGGAAAGATACTGTATTATGCCAGTTAGTAATCATGGCATGCCCAGTCCCTACAGTATTCATAATCCAGGCAATTATCCCCTTAGGATTCAATTTGTTTTATGGACCTTTTGAAACCTAGCCAATAATGGTCATCATAGGGAATTCCATTGAAAATTTATGCAAGTATTATTTAAAAGTATCCATTTCAACTTGCTTCATTGTGTTATGAAAATTCAACTGTAAACAGGATGAGACAATTTTCTGGAAAAGGTAAGAGAAATTCTTGAGGTGTTGCCAACCTTTTAGTGCTTGCTACCATTTTAGTGTTACGTTTTCACAGATAATGAGATGGGTGGTCATATTCTGCAACTTTTTCAGTCAGCAAAACTATTCAATGATTATGCAGTTTTAATTACATTACCAGCAAGTTTCCAGTTATTTCATCATCTATGAAGCATACCCTTTTTTCAAATTCATTCTAGCATCTATATTCATACCAGACACTCACTGCCAGTAAACTCATTGATTTTTGCACTTATGAGTCCATATTTTCACATTTGAAGACCATGTATATATGCAAAAGTACTGAGATTTGATGATTCCAATTAGGTTTTATGAGGATAGGAAAATATTTGTTTTGCCCACCCTATGTGTCAAAGCCCTGACTAAGATTACTTAGCTGTATGTGATACTTTATAGGCCTCCTCACATGCCTACAGTGATGTGTTCTGTGCCCTTGATTCATTGACATTGCTTGACCTCTTAGCTTCAACCACTCAGAACTTATATTTAAAAAATTGCTTCTTGTTCCCCTGGGTTTCCTTCTTTTTAGTTTTGCCTTGCACTAGTATCAGGTGTGTCACCTGTATCTTCCACTTATGTGGCTACAGTGTCACCCATTCAGTGTGAATCTTTTAGAAGTTGTGCGTGTGGACAGGAAATTGTGCAAGTAGTATACCCCATTCTATCCCATTTGTTTAGTATGAGAAATGCCTTCAGAAGTTGTGGGCTTCCTCCTTTTCCAACCAGCGAATTCCAGTCATGTTTAGTGTGACTAATGCCTCCAGAAGCAATGGGCTATCTCTTTTCCAACCTGCAAGTTCCAGTCATGTATTTGATAATTGTGTAACATGTAGCATGTAACATGTATATGGAGACATGTTGGCATCTGTGAAACAGGAGCTTCTCATATTTTGTATATTGTGCTACATATCCTTGCATTTCTGACTTGGGGTTAAATTCTGCCTTGTATGTTTCAATATTCGAAGATGTTTGCAAGATGCATGCAGTGCTGGTATAGGTGCTTCCAATAGGTTGAGGTTTCTGCATGCTTCATGTAATACTTTGAATTTTAGAATCAGTGGTTATCATAACTATTTCCCAGTCATTGCACCCCATTGCATCTTTGTAATTGCCCATTACTGGTAGCTCTCAAAATCTGATGGCAAATTGCTGTCAGATTCTAGGCAATGTTTTGTTTCATAAGAACTACTGATGTTCACCCCACAAGAAAATGACCATGGTGGAATTTAACCCCTGTTTTCCTATGCATAACTTTGGAAGAAGAAACTTTACCATTCTCAATTGTGATTTTTCCCCTATGTCTTTTTTGAAGAGAATCTCTGATTCTTATTTTGAGAGATTGAGAGCACATGGCATGAAGAGCAGTGCTAAAATTCAGTTTGCAATTTCTTGACTCTGTGTCAACCTCATTTGGACATGCAGTGACCTGTGATGATTCTTCCAGTTGTTCAGGTTGGGTCAGTACCATGTTTAGAAGGTTGGAGGCTTATTTATTTACAAAAATTTTAATAAACAATCTTTTGTTGCCATTTTGTGTTTTTTTTCTTACTTTTAAGAGATCAAAATTATAAACTGTGCTGGTTCTTCTATAGTAGTATGTCATAAGATCACTTCACTGGATCTGTCCTTGTTACAATTGCTGAAAGAGGTGCAATCCCTAAAGATCTCTAATTTGCACATTGGAACTTGTGGAACCTCAGAAGTTGTAGTGTATCCAAATGACAATTTTCAACTGCAGTTACTGTGTCTTTGCTAGAAGATGCAATGATGTTATGGTGGGGCTCATGTCATGGTGAGCCCAGTGGGATCTTTTTCACCACTGATGCACCTATTCACTTTATGCTGATTCAATGATTGATTGCAAAAGTATACATGGGCATTTCTCATTCTCAAGAGTACAATGAGTAATGCTCATGTTTGACCTTGCACCATCTCGGTGCAAACTCAAAGTAGATGCTTCTACCCTCCAGAAAATGAAAATGCTTTCTGTAAGGTCATATCCTTATTAATATTTGTTGCCTGCATATTAGTTAGTTCCTGTAACAGCTGTTGCTGTTTATGACTATTGTACATTTTGAAGATAGATTACTTGCTTTTTTATGCCTGTAGTAAATGTGTTAGTATAAAGTGCATGAAGAAATTGTTTTCTTATATCATGCATACACAGTGTAATAGATACTACTGGCACTATTATAGGTGCAGGATTTATGGCAATCAGCTTCATTTATCTATCACAAAGAATATCATGGCTTTAGAATCTGATTCAGATAAGTCAACTGAAGATTGTTCACCATGAGTGGAACATGCTGTTGCAAGTTTCTTGCACTGGTCTAAGAATTTACAGCCAATGGAAAAAAAAGTTGATAGTTTATTTTCCAGGTTGATTTTTATTCATCCTTATGACTGCATAATATTTCAGGTAAAGGGATCCAATCATGGAGAAATTACAACAGCGTATCAATGAATTACAAGAGGAGTTAACAAGATTGAAGGAGGAAGCCAAGCAGGATTTGATAAAGTCTAGGAGAACCAAAATTGAAACTATGTCTGCTGAGGTGGTGGATTCCAATCCTTATAGGTGGGCCACAGTTTGCAAAGATATCTCCCTTGATCCTAATACTTCTCATAGAAGAATGCCTTTCTATTCAGTCGCCTCATGGCATTGAAGCGTATGGGGATTGTGCGTGAATATGAGCGAATACGAGAGTACACAGTAGCTGTTGTTGGTGTTGGAGGTGTAGGCAGCGTCACTGCAGAGATGCTAACAAGATGTGGAATTGGAAAGGTGTGTGCTTAATACTTTTACAAATAGTGTTGATTTATTGTGATGATCATTTGAACACTTCACAATTTCTTGTTACATGCCTTTGCAGTTGCTACTGTTTGACTATGACAAAGTGGAACTAGCCAACATGAACCGCTTGTTCTTCCAACCTAATCAGGCTGGTCAAAGTAAGGTATGTATTTTTTTTTATTCACTATGTGAGGCTCTGGTATAGGAACTGTGCATTTCCTAGTATGACTCAGCACAATGGTTTTGAATTTTCATGTGCCTTACACCTGAAAGAGGCCAGAGCACCTCCTGCCTACTATAAATGTCAGCTTCAACCAGCTAAAATAAATTTGTAAATTTTTTTTTATTTAAAATAACCCATGCATTATGTTACCTAAACCTAAAAGAAGTAGTGGTGTACCTTCTCCTTTTTCCACCATAACATTTTTTTGCAATGGGAGTCTTGATGACTTGTGAATTTTATAGGTTGAAGCTGCTGCTGAAACACTATCTTTCATCAATCCAGATGTGGCTTTTGAAACATACAACTACAACATCACAACAATGGAGAACTTCCCTCATTTTGTCAATTGCTTGAGGTATGAATTTGGAATGTCATTATGCTTCTCAATGAGGAGCAAAGACATAATTGATGCTTAGCTTGAATGGTGAATAGTTCTTTTTGCATCATGAGAAAGGAAGAAAGTGTCATTTTTCATTTTCAGCCATGGCTCAAAGGTAGGAGGCCCAGTGGATTTAGTCCTGAGTTGTGTGGATAATTTTGAAGCTCGAATGGCAATCAATACAGCCTGCAATGAATTGAACCAACCATGGATGGAATCTGGTGTTGCAGAGAATGCTGTTTCAGGTCACATCCAAACAATTATTCCTGGGACCACTGCCTGCTTTGCTGTGAGTGACTTCCTTGACATTTTTATCCAATTCTATGCTATCTTTTGGATCATTGAGCTCTATCAATCCATATTATCTAGGTAGTGCGCTCCCCCTTTGGTTGTGGCCTCCAAAATTGATGAAAGGACTTTGAAAAAGGAAGGTGTTTGTGCAGCTAGTCTTCCAACTACCATGGCTATTGTTGCAGGGCTCCTTGTTCAGAACTGTCTCAAGTAACAATATATCCTGCTATCCAGAAATGCAAGAGCTTGTCATTTTTTCTGGAAAGACCATCTTATTAACTGGAATGTCCTTGTGGTTTTTTTTGACAGATATCTTCTGGGCTTTGGAGACGTGACAGACTACGTTGGATACAATGCATTGAATGACTTCTTTCCATCCATGACATTGAAGCCAAATCCTCAGTGCGATGATAATTACTGTCAAAAGAGACAAGAAGAAGCAGCAACTAAGAGGAAGCCTCAGACCAAAGATATGATGAAGGAATCAGAACATGAAGAGATAACCCATGAAGACAATACTTGGGGTGAGGAAAGATTTATTCTGACTTAAATTATTTATAGGAAAAAGATGCAGTTGAAATTGTAATTATTCATGTAGGGATAAGTGTAGTAGAGGAGTCAGGTGGAAGAGAAGAGAGTTTATCAGCTGCCACAGGAGTGGAATATGCATATGCAAAGCCTTCACCTGCACTTCAAACACAAGGAGAGACTGTTGGTGACACACCCACTAGCCTTGATGACCTCATGACTCAGTTTAAGGCTTTGTGATGGTTTGTTAGCCTTGTCTACACATTCCATCCTGTTTCTTGTTATGGTGTCTCAAAGAGGGGATTATGGGAATGTTTTTTCACTTGGATGAACCATGTGTGTCTCTGTTTGTGTGCATGTTTTTGTAGACATCTTGGTGAAGGTTGTTCTCTTGCCTGATGCATTTCCAACAAGAACTTAATTGCCGTTGTCACTTGTATGTCTTCAGCTTAGAATTTTAGTCAGCTGTGCTGCCTCTGTTAGTCTTACATAGCCAAGTAACTGTAATTTGTTCTTGGAATTACCCTTTTTTATGTTGAAGATCTCTATATACATAAAATATTTCTGTGTATTAATATATATTTTATATTTCAAAATCTTCCATTGCTAAGAAGATGGATAACTTGTTTTTTCCAGATCTCTGAAAAAGTCAAATTTTTGAAGATATTTGATGGACAATAAGCTTGAAGAACTAAGTGTGCTTTCATTACAATTTATAACTTTGCAGGGCTTTGGTATTATGGTACTGGTACTTATGTTTTGTTAGATTTTGGCTGATTTGAAACATCTGCTCTTTCATCTACTGCCTTTCAAATAGAAGCCTTCACAGGAAGATTCATTATGTTGCCAGGAGTATGCACTAGGCAATTATCAAGCTATGTAAAAAAAAAAATCATGTTAAATCTTGCTAGAAATAGTCTTTTTTTTTTATTTAGACATCCAAACTTTTGAAGTAACTGAATGAAACTCCTGTGGCTCAAGAGAGCTTTGAGAGATCTACCATCCTGTGGAGGTTGCATATCTACTCCTGGAATCAAAGAAAAGTTGTCAAAGGTCAAAGTTTGCCAAATGTGGCAAGATTTTCCAAATTGACAAAACTTGGAACTTTGAATACGCTTGATGGGTTTTTTAAACAGCATAAAAACGAAATAAATGTAAATTTGGACTAACTTCATAGAGAATGAAAGACGCCCCAAAGTTGAACTAGTTACTAGCATTCTTATTGTGGACTCTTTCAGATTGAAATGTGACAATTTCAGAAATTTGCTACTTTTTTCCTAGTTAAGGCACAGAAAAACTCTTGGAATAAATTATGATTTTCTGGCTACTTGCTTTAAAATGATCTATCAACCAGCTTTCTAGCTTGAATAGTTAGGGAGATGTTGCATTTGTCTGGGGGGTCATTTCACCCTTCCCTCCCAAACTTCCAAAGAGCATATCTCAAAGGTCATTGGGCCTAGACTGTTGAAAATTTGGATTTACCTGTTTTTCACAACCCTCAGTACACATGATTTTTTTATGGCAAAATTCCATAGGTGCAACAACCAACCAATCAAAAATTGGATAACTTGACCTTGAATGGTTCCAGTACAATTGCTAGCTTTTGGTCCAAAGCCTTTAATGTGATATAAAAAATCTAGGGCTGCATTAATGTTATTTCAGACAGGACAAGATACTATAATAGAATAAGACCAGGCCTTTTCCATCTTAAAAAACCATTTATCAGGTCATCCCATAAGTCAGGGGTGTCAAACATACGGCCCGCGGGCCGGATCCGGCCTGCAGAGGTGGTTCATCCGGCCCGCCGTCTGCTTCTGAAATTTTCCGCATGGATTGAGTGTCAGCACAAATTTAAGTGAAATTTTATGGGTGCGGCCCGCAAGCATCTGCAGGGTAAGGAATGCGGCCCGCCGACTTATTTGAGTTTGACACCCCTGTTTTAAGGCATCGTGGCTCTTCTCTGTCGTTCGACCACATACCCACTTCGCATTAACTGATTTCTCTTCCCACAGGACGGGAAGTACGTGTTGACGCTGGAGATGTACGAACTGACTTTCGCCAACTTCGTCTTTGGTACGAACGAGTACGGGCCGGGACGGTACCTGTTCCCCTGCTGTCATGGATCTGCCACCCTTGCACCGTTCCCCATCACACCTGCACCTGTCGATCCGCCCCAGAGGCACCACGTGGATCCCCTCAGAGACCCCGACCTCTGATACCTCTCATACGTCTGATGTATCTGATGCATCTGGAACTCATCGCTTGACCCACCCCTCAAACTGTTTCGATGGCACCCACTTGTGATAGTAAAACGAACGGAGAAGGAAAACATCTGAAATCAAAATCGTAAATTCAGCTTTGAATTCAGAATATATCGGCTTGAAGAAGATTAAGTCACATCTCGCTCTTCTGGAATCATTACTGGTTTCAAGCTGCCGCTTATACAAGAACAGCACTGATTTTTCAGCTTTCTTGCAATGTTCTAGAATGATGCGGAATTCTATCAAGAATAAAATTCCCTTTTGCTATTCTGGATCTTATTCAAAACTCATTGCTACTCCCTCAAGCAGACGCTTGATATGAAATTGGTTTATGGGAATCGTAATCGTTAGGTCGGGATTAGCGAACCCATGGCAGACTCATTACTTACGGGAAGAATCCCTTGTGTAATAGGAGGTACAATTCAGGTGAGATGAGTATTCGGGTGCAATTGGTGGAATGAGCATGAAAGCTGCAATAGGTCATTTGCAAACTTTCTGGTGATGGAACGCTTGTAATGAACCCTAATGACTTTAGATTATGAAACGGACACGATGCACTTGATGCTCGTAAACGAGTCTATGCCGACTCTCGGAAAGGTTATGGATAATATGCACCATTCCATAAAGGGTATCGAAGAACGATAGTGTAACGAACCAAGAACTGTGCGGACACGCCTCAGATGAAAGACTCAATCGGGTAGATGATCAGAAAAGCCAAATGAAGAATGAAGAGATGAAGTACTTAAGATTTCATTTACAATTATAAGAGTGCACACGTACTGGCGGTTCCCCAGGGTAAGTCTTTAATGATGACGCAAGGAAACCATACAGATACAGGGTGTTTCATATGCATCCGAACAGACTTGGTGGTGTTCGTATCTAGGTAGTAACGCATCGTATAACAGTTAATCAGATTTAAAATTTCGCCCCATTTAGTACTTCAGATGCACAACTAGATAGTGTTAGTGCAACAACATGGCGAAATGTTTGACGATAGAAGAAAAAGTGGCGCGACCTGAAGCTTTCCTCCGTTTGAAAACGCAGCTAAGGTTCAAAGACAGTGGTACAGATAAATCGGATCGTGATCATCCCATATGGGAAACAATCCTTTCTATAAATAAGAGCTTTAACGAAGCTGAAGCTTCACCGACTCGCCTCAATCGTGTAGAAAAAGATCAGTTCGTATGGAGCAAGCAGTGGAATCCGTGACGACAGCTTTTGCACCTGAGTGCAAATCGGTCAAACGTGCCTCTGCGGAACTGAACTTGTTTCCCACATTTTTTTCCTTGCCTTTTTTATGTTGTGTAGAGCAGAAAAGCGTTTGTGCTCAGAAACCGGCAACCATTCATGGAGCTGGAAGAAAATATAATGGAAGTTTTGCAGGGAATCAATCAGGACGTGTCCAGGTGTCAAACATCCGTCTAGGGATGCTTGTAGGAGTGCCGGATACTAATGAAGGACAAAGTTTGTCTTTTTTTTTTGGGGGGGGGGGGGGGGGAATTGAGTTATAATTGTGCATTAAAATGAGGTATATGTTCCAAGTTCCTGTACTTCTTAGCAACCAAGATATGAGGTTGTTCGTATCTTGGTCTGTTCTGCTTTACGTGTTCACGAAACACCCTGATGTAAATCAAAGGCAGAAACACACCTGTAGGTTGGAATGTACTTAAGAACTCTCTTTGAGCAGCCTTCCTATGCAGATATAAATGAATCTTGCAATAAAAGGCAAATGCATGGGTTGTAATGTGAGTTATGTTCAAAGTAATGAACGCTAAAATATGCACAAGATTGAATTGAGAGAATGCGTTCTCTGAGATGGATGGAAATAAATCACAGTTTCACGTATTAAATTGCGACGAGTTTCCAATGCCAATGCGATTCACTCAATACATACTCATTGCTTTCCTAATGGTGTAAGGTTTTCAGACTTTCGGTCTTTGCGAGACTCCAATAAGTTGAAAGATCTTATCCATACGACTCGAAAAAACATGATATACCAATTACGCGTCAGCGTAGTGTGCTTTTTTTCCGCTCATCTATATCAGCTTCCAGTAAAATTTTAGAATAAGCTTTTTTCAGCCATTTTTTACGATATTTTCCAAGAATTTGCGGGATTTTGCTATTGGATGGCTCTACAGTATTTCTTGAAGTTAGATATTTATATTTATTACTAAACTAAATCATGCATCATCATATCTCCTTGGAGAATTCGTTAAAGCGCTTTCAGCCAAAGTCAACTCGAGTCTTGACAGAGTGTTTCCACGGGAGCATTCCCTCTTCTGAAGCGCATCATTCCTAAAGTGCATGGAAACACTGAGTAAACTCATCTTGCTGAGAAGGGAGGAGTTCAATGAAATCCATCGATTTCATCATTGGAAAGTGTCCAACAGGGGAGAGAAATGCGACCCAACAAAATAGAGGTCAGTGTGCACACGATTACTAATTCATCATAAATTTCCAGGACGGTCATAAGTGCTCTCCGACGTGGAGACGGAGCAGGCAATGGAAATGAGTCTCGTGGAATATTTCACTTTGGGATTAATAGAACTCGTCGTGATCTCATCTTGTGACCCATTGAGTGTGCTCGTGGAATTACAGACCCGAAACTGCTCTCACGTGACTTTTGTACTTGAGTCAGGTGGGGATCACCCGGGATCCGTGATAGAGACAGAGTCAGAGGGGACACGAGCGATCCTGTTCCAGGAACCGACCGAAGATGCCGACGAGGTCAAGTTGGCAATATTACGCCATTGGCCGTGTTCCATCTTCGTGGCGTATTTCTCTTCTCTTAAGAACACAGATCGAGATCGGCACAGCAACTACTTGATGAAACTAAGAGCTGTCACACCCCAAAGTATCCTTTTGATCTTGGTTCCCAAGGCCTATATCCATGTGACCTGGCTGCAGGAGAGATTCAGGTCGACTCTGGGCGTCGGTTTTGTCGTTGGCCTCGATCGGGTCGTTCTCCGCGACCTGCCTCGTCCGGGTTGGAGAGAGACATCGCGGTTCCACTCGTTGTGGGAAGAAGAAATTGACGTGAAAGGAGAGACCTTCCACTGTCGCGTGGGGAAGTCTTATCCTCCCAGCATCATCATCGAAAAACGTCAAGATTCCGTCGAGGTCAAAGGATGGGACGCGATGGCGATGAAAACTGCGGCTAAGTATCACGGCTGGAGGTTCGTTCCCGAACCGAGACAGGAATTCGAGTCAGGAAATGGAGGAGTAATAGAAAACGGAACCATATTAGGGGAAGTAGGCGAGGTTTTCCATGGAAGGAGTCAAATCGCTGTCGGGGGACTTCACATGACGGCAATGAGGTCAAAGTTCACGACCCAAATCCCAATTAATTTCGATTCCTCTGTGATCGTCGTCCCCCGCCAGTACGCCCGAGAACTGTTCAATCCCATTCTAGCAAGTTTCCCCTTGGTCCTGTGGATCATGATCCTGGCCTCGTTTCTAGGAATGTCTTTCGCTTCAGCCTTTTTCGACAGGAATTTCTGCTTGTCTCGCAGTATTTGGGACACTTTCTCCGTGGTCGTCGGACAACCCGTTTCTCACCTTTACACAGACGGCACAAATGCTCTCAAAGTATTGATGGTTCACTATTCCATCGTATGGCTCGTTCTATCGACTCTCTACCATGGGCGACTCCATACGATTTTGACCGTACCCGAGTACATTCAGCCCATTAAAAGTCTCACGGCCTTTCACGATAGCAAGCTCCGCATGGCATTTATTTCTTATGGAGGATATTGGAGGGACATTTTGGCCGAGCACTCCGATCCCAAGGTCCGCGAACTCCGCTCCAGGATGGACAAAGTCAACAGCATCAAAGAAGGCCTTGCTTTGGTTCTGGCCGGCACTCACGGGTTCCTCGACACGGAACTGGCCATCAACTATCAGGCATCCGTCATCGACTGTCCCGAATGCTACGACCAACTCGGCAGACCCTTGTTTCACGTGATTCCCGAATGGGTCCATGGCACGTACACGTCCATCACGATCCCGGCTCACGCCTTCTACGAACCGATGCTCCGTTCCTTCGTGAAGAAAGTGAAGACTTCGGGGCTAAGCCAGAGGTGGATGGCAGAGGCCGTCCGGAGTTACGAAAAGCATCAGAGTCACGAAAACCACCGGAAAGCTTCGAAAGACGTATCGACGGATGACGAAACGAAACCAATTTCCCTGGTGAACCTGAGACACCTCTTCTGGATTTATCTCACTGGACTTGGACTTTCTACGATCGCATTCGTCCTGGAAGTTCTATATGCGCGTTTCGTTAACAGAGGAGCATCAGTGAAACCTGAGACTGCCACAAAAATCTGCTAATGTGTATAACTACTTCGTAGAACATATGAACTGTGACCCACGATTGGGATGATAGCAACTCCTAACCATTACTTAAAATGATTGAGGCTTTTTACAACTTTAAGGAGGCAGCTACTTTCAATCGATTGCATAATACGTATAGGCATATTGTCAGAAGTGACTGTGAAGTGTTAGCGCAGTCTTGAGTGATGTGCTTGCATCCTTCCAATAAAGGAAAAGTATATATCCAAAACTTTTATTTCAACTTATTTTTATAACTGAGACAAGAGAGCGCCGAATTCTCCTGCTTCATAGCATGCTTGCTGGCTTGCTTCAAAGCAACCGTAAAGGCTTTTATTCCCCATTCCGAAAAAGGAACGAACACTTTCGCATAGAAGAATTCCTAATTCAGCCATTATGTACGAAATTCTCACTTTTTGAGAAGGCAAAACGTGTTACGGTTAAGGTTTCTTCAGGACTAGCTTCTAGCATTCCGTGCCTCAGGATACTGAATAATGAGAACCTACGCCTAAATTTCAACAAATAAATTCCAAAAAGACCGAAACTCCCTGCGGTTTGCAGTTTGACAAGAGTATGATTCCGTCACTGTCAAAGTTTGTATCATTTCCCATTCATATTAATATTCT